CGGATCAGAGCGTGATCTGACAGCCGTCTCTGGAGAACAGTGTGTGTGTTATTGAGAGCACTGTTCTCATCCATATTAATGGAAAGAAGCCGCACTGTTCTGCAGCACGCTGCGAGAACTTCATATCTCAGCAAGTGAAGTCATCTTACATCAGTCAACATACGGTGCTGTGCAAAAGTCAGAGATTAACCATAATTTATTTCCAGTCAAAACGGCCAAATTATTTAACAGAAGATATTTCTGATTAGATTAGATGGTCAGAGTCATACAGGAGTTTCCAAAACTGGAGTTCAAAATATGATTAAAAGCTACAGAGAAAATGGGAACCCTAACAACCACCTGGAAGACCTGACAGACACCGAGGCTGCCCCCATCAGATAAACAGCAGAACCTGTACATCCAGGCCAGGAACGCTTTAAAATACAAGGATGAGCAGATGACCATGCTGTTCCGTTTAATGAAATTACTCAGAGTGGTCACGCAGCAGCTAATCAAGGATCAAAGCACGACATCAGATGAGAATGCCTTGCTTCCACATCAGAACCCTTTACTTCATAAGGTCTCCATCCACTGCTACTTTTCACAGAACACTAGCAGCGCTCACTAGCAGCTAGCAGCTCAACACACGGTCACAACATGGCCCCTAGGGGGCACTGAAGAAAGAAGTTCAAACGTAGTCCTTCCACTGTGAGAAGACGACTCAGCGCTATGGATCTAAAAGGATGTGTAGCTGTCAAGAAGAACCTCACTGAGAAAAGGAGATGGACACATCAAACAAAGAAGCTGAACGATGGACTGACCACCACAGAGTCCAGACCTCAACACCACTGAATGTGTTTGATTACGTCATAAAAAGTAAAGTTGACACTCACTGTCCATTTTATAGGTGTATCAGTATGTATATATATATATATATATATCCTGACATATATATATAAATAATGGTCCATTCATTATGAAATTTACATACACTGTAAAGGACAACAGGTATTTGCAAATTATGTCAAAAACTGAAAAATGACAAAATTGGAGAGGTTTTCTTCCAACAATATATATATATATATATATATATATATATGATATATATATAGATAGTATATATAGAGAGGAGAGAGAGAGAGAGAGAGAGAGAGAGACAGAGACAGGGAGAGAGAGGGAGAGAGAGAGAGAGAGAGAGAGAGAGGAAACACTACTGCACATTTTAATATAGATTACTATTTATTTATTGAATTTAACATATTGGGTATAAAAATAGAACATAAAATGTAGCCTAAATGTTTTATTTTTCCCTAAATATTTAAACCTTTTTTAAGCAAATAAACAGAAATCATGCACCAAATCAGAAAACATCAGAAAACGCTATATTACACTTCATATGTCATATAACGTTTTATATTTTATATCACATTATCAAATATATTTGGCACTAAAATATGTAGAACAATGGCAAGTTTGTTCCGTGCTGAGCTACACATATGTACCTATATAGAAATAAACACCCACACACACACACATACCACTTTAATGTGTTATAACTGTTTTTGAACCATTTTTAAGGTATTTAGGACCTAATTAATAGTCATTAATATAATAATTTTAAACCATTCATAAAACTTCAGATAAATGTTGGCCTTATCATAAAGTGGTACACACTTAAAAAAGATGGTTCTTCAAAGGTTCTTTAGTAAAGAAAATGGTTCTGTATAGAAGCATGACCACTCAAAGAAGGCTTTGCCTGTTTAAATGGTTCTTTGCATGGTGAAATGGTTCTTCAGACTGATGGAGAATGTGCTGTAGATGGTTCTATGTAGAAGCAAAGGGTTCTTCTATTAGTACAAGCTTGACATCGTAACAATACCAGAACCCTTTTTGGTGCTATATAGAACACTTTTCAAAAAGGTTCTATAAAGAACCATACACAACACATTCTCCATCAGTCTGAAGAACCATTTCACCATACAAAGAACCCTTTAATCAGGCAAAAGGGTCTTTGAGTGTTTATGGTTCTATATAGAACCATTTTCTTTCCTAAAGAGAACGTGCTGTAGACGGTGCTGTTGGGACAATGCCAAGCTTGTAACAATAGCAGAACCCTCTTTGGTGCTATATAGAACCATTTTCAAGAAGGTTCTATATAGCACCGTCTACAGCACGTTCTCCATCAATCTGAAGAACCATTTTACCATGCAGAGAATCTTTTAATCATGCAAAGGGGTCTTTGAGTGTTTATGGTTCTATATAGAATGATTTTTTTTACTGAAGAACCCTTGAAGAACCATCTTTTTAAAGTGTGTACTTATATATGCACGAAGCAAACCGAGATTGTCCATCTGTCCATCTTTTACTTGGTGACTTAAAAAATATTTTAAATAAAAAATGAAAAGCTTGGACTTCAAATCTGTAGGAGCTAATCTTTCAATCTCAGCTCTTCTGTTATTCAGGGAACAGCGTGTTGATGCTCAGAACGCTTCTGGCCTCTGGCAGCCTCTCTGTGTCATTTCCGTTGTAGGAGGGTAAAATTCCGCCCAGGGAAAGTTTCCATTGGCGCAGAGGGAAACAGCCAATAGCGAGCTCTGCCTGCCAGACAGCATCCCAGCGCTGCTACATGAGCCACTGTTATGGATGTGGCAATTTCTTGTACTCTAAACAAGCCGGCGTTCCGCAGAACATTTATACAATCAACACTCAGTAAACAACAGAGTCCGTTAGAGAGGCCTCTGTTCCACGGAGAACCAGAGAACAATGCTCGGGTCAATCATCAACACAGCCTGTTCTACCACGTCCTCATTAACAACGTCCTGCTGTACAGATGAGTTTAAGAGCAGCTGCAGTTTTGGATTATTCACTCAGCTCTGGAATGTGCTGAGGCTGGAGGAGACCATGAGGGCCTCTGTCCTTCTCTGTTTCACAAACACGGGAAACAGCGCCCTCTGCTGGCTGTGGACATCATTCTGCTCTCTCTCAGGCTGCTTTAGGAGGAAATAAAGAGATTCACACACCTTCTGGGTCGCGGGGGGTACTGGAGTCTATCCCTGCAGTCATTGGGTGGAAGGCAGGTTATACCCTGGACAGGTCACCAGTCCATCGCAGGGCAGACAGACAGACATATACATTCACACACACACTCACATTCACACCTAGGGGCAATTCCATCCATCCATCCATCATCTAAACCGCTTATCCTTCTGGGTCGCGGTGGGGCGCTGGAGCCTATCCCAGCTGTCATTGGGCGGAAGGCAGGATACACCCTGGACAGGTCGCCAGTCCATCGCAGGGCAGACAGACAGACATATACATTCACACACTCACATTCACACCTAGGGGCAATTCAGCATGTCCAATTAGCCTGACCGCATGTCTTTGGACTGTGGGAAGGAAACCCACACAGACATGGGGAGAACATACAAACTCCACACAGAAAGGACCCTGGTTGCCCGGCTGGGGAATCGAACCCAGGGCCTTTTTGCTGTGAGGTGACAGCGCTACCCACTGCAGCACTGCATTCATGACTGCTTAAAATTAACACCACTGCTTAAATTTTAATAATTTATCTTTTTTAAATGATATAAAAACAAAAAATGATTGAAAGATCTACTGAGTACTGTGCAGATTTCAAACAATTCTGAAAGATATTGAATAAGTAGTATGGACTGCTTATAAAACTAAAAAAATGAAATGTTAGATATGTTGAGAATGATGATCGAAACTGTAGATGGTTCTAAAATGACTGAAAAAGCTGTAGCACATCAATAATGATGGTATCTTGAAAGAAAAATTATTATAAAGTAAATTGCTAACCTAATTTGAAGGGAGATAACGTGACAAAAAGCCTGGAAAATAGAGAAATACAGCATATTATCATTTAATAGATTTTTGGTGAACCCAAAAATACTTACAATAACACTGAGGTGGTGGGGGAGTGTTAGTGTGTGAGGTGCTGGTACGAGTGGATCAGACACAGCAGTGCTGCTGGAGTTTTTAAACACTGTGTCCACTCACTGTCCACTCTATTAGACACTCCTACCTTGTCAGTCCACCTTGTAGATGTAAAGTCAGAGACGATAGCTCATCTGCTGCTGCACAGTTTGTGTTGGTCATCCTCTAGTCCTTCATCAGTGGTCACAGGACGCTGCCCACAGGACGCTGTTGGCTGGATATTTTTGGTTGGTGGACTATTCTCAGTCCAGCAGTGACACTGAGGTGTTTAAAAACTCCAGCAGCACTGCTGTGTCTGATCCACTCAGACCAGCACAACACACACTAACACACCACCACCACGTCAGTGTCACTGCAGTGCTGAGAATGATCCACCACCCAAATAATAACTGGACGACAGGAGTTTAAAAAGCCTCTTTCAGGTTTTCGGGTCAGTTTGAGGTCAGACAGTTACCCAACACAGTCATATAACGGACATATAAAATCTGTTTGTTTTCTGTGGTCATTCAGACTCACATGCCGGTCAGTTCATTTTTTTTTCTTTGGACACAAAGAGCAAACTGAGCGCTAATTGTAGTCATGCTGTCACAATCAGAGAGACAAACTGAGCTTTGTCTCAGAACTTTAATCAGATAAAATTAGTTTAAAATATCTGATTATTACATTACATTTGCCACAAAACACACTTTTCGCTCCCCTATTTTGAAAGAAAGCTAAAAAAAAAGCCACTTTTGAATATATTATTTTTGTGATGTCACAAAAGCCAACTCACATATCCGCCTTTTCATCCTGCAGCACATTAGCCCCGCCCATATTTAAATTATAAGGAGTGTTTCAGCTGTGACGGCATTTTGAATGAGGCAGCCAATCAGAACGTGGGCTCATTTGCATATATCAGTCTTAAAGGTACAAGAAACAGCCTGTATAATTCTAAGGGATAAAGAGAGGCTGAAAAAACGATCGTGCAGAAATGAATTATGACTGTTTTTGGTATATAATCTGGAAAAAAAAATCAAGAACACTGAGGGATTTGACCCCTAAAACAAAACACATAATCCAAAAAATGTTACAGACCCTGTATTTATTTGTGACGCAGCGTCAAACAGAAACATTTCAAGCACTTTAAACAAGCACAATCTCTACACTGACAAAAGCATCATGTATAAAACAGACTCCTAAGCAGTTCTACAGTTTTAGAGTGTTAAAGGACTCAGAGCTGGAAGGTGGCGGAGGTTTGGGCCATGGCGTTGTAGATGAACGTGTTGTCGAATGGTACAAACTGGTGTGTGATGAGTTTGATGGCTTCCTGTGCTGCTGCTCCTGTAATGGAGAAACAACAATCACATTACTGTTACTGCTGATAACTGCATTACTGCTGCATAGCACTGCATTACTGTGGTATATTACTTCATTAGTGCTGAACAGCACTGCATTATTGCTGTAAGGCAGGGGTGTCCGATCTTATCTGCAAAGGGCCGGTGTGGCTGCAGGTTTTCACTCCAACAAAGCGAGTCAAGTGTGCTCCAGCTTGTTTGGAGTGAAGACCTGCAGTCACACCGGCCCTTTGCAGATAAGACTGGACACCCCTGCTGTATGGTACTGCATTATTGCTGCAAGGTCTTACATTATTGTTGTACTGTATTGCATTATTACAGCTATGGTATTGCATTATTACTGTACTGTATTGCATTATTACTGTACTGTATTGCATTATTGCTGTATGGTATTGCATTAGTGCAGCATGGTGTTGCATTATTGCTATATGGTATTGCATTAGTGCAGCATGGTGTTGCATTATTGCAGCATAGTAATGTATTATTGCTGTACTGTATTGAATTATTGCTATATAATATTGCATTATTATGGAATGATATTGCATTATTGTACTGTATTTCATTATTGCAGTATGGTAGTGCATCATCACAGCATAGTATTGCATTATTCCTATATAATATTGCATTACTGCTGTATGGTATTGCATTACTGCTGTACTGTATTGCATTATTGCTGTACTGTATTGCATTACTGCAGTATGGTATTGCATTAGTGCAGCACAGTATTATTGTGTACTATATTCTGCATTGGGGCATTTGTTTGACAGCGCTGCTGACGCTTGTATTACTGCTGTATATAATAACATAATAACAAACTGTTTTCATGTTACTTGTTGTTGTTCCCAAAATTCCTTAAATTATGAATAAACCACAGATTTATGTTTTGGTGTCCAGTTTACAACATTTTAATCTGCACTGTAAAAGTCATTATTAAATAAAATGTATTAATATGAACTGACTGGTCGTGTATATAGCTTTTCCTTTATTATACTCTTTATTATTTACAGCAGCAAGTGTCACTGAATCTCACTGTATAGTGACAGAACAGGTATTCTATTCTACTCTATTCTATTCTATTCTATTCTCATGTAACACAGTCTGACCTCACAGTGTTGCTGCAGCTGTTTATCTGCTGTATTTCTGGGTTGACTGCAATATGATTTGTGCGATTGTAGTAAAACTCACCTCCCAAAAAGGACGCCACTGTGTGCGGCTCTGCAGCGCCGTAGCGACAGCTGGAAGATACAAAAATACCAACTTCAAGCAAAAACTGAACTATTTGTAGCTGCTTTACTGTCAGCATCTCTACAAGACACAGCAGCACATCAGTGAACTATTACTGACAACAAACACTCTAAAAACCTCAGATCTGTTTCTAAAAGAGCTCAGTCTACAGAGACTCGCTTACAGCCTGTGTGGGTGTAAATCTCTGCCTTCACTATGATTTGGTTAAACTGCGATTCTTTAGGAAATGATTCAGTGCATCACGAAAGTTTAACTGCATCTGGATTCAATTAACAAACTGATTAAACACGATTATTAAACTGAAAATGTTCTGAAAACGCTGAGTACATAGTCAGACGTAGTCAGACGTAGTCAGACGTAGTCAGACCGACAGACACAACAAGTTCACTCTTTACTGATCTTCAGCGATCACAACAACAAACTGAGCCTGAAGAAGAACAAGGACCCCGTCACCTCATTCCCTGATTTCACTGGTGTAAAGAAAAAATATAAATTAGGTCGTCTGAGACTCGCCTCCTGACTGTTTCTGGAACTGAAGCATGTTTGTTAATTATAAATAAAATGTATGTATGACAATAATGTTTCTAAATTCTATAATTCTGGCTGCAAACTCTCAGTTTTGGCCACAGGATGTTGTTGGATTGGTGGACAATGCAGTTTAACTCTGTCTACTGCTGATTATAATCAATTATAATTAATTATAACATTGCATAATAGCTTGTGGATGTAGATACTAAATGTACACACAAATTAATAAGAGAAGATACTGAATAATTCACAGTAGATACTGAATAATTCGTAGTAGATACTGAAAGATTCATGTAGATACTGAATAATTCACAGTAGATACTGAAAGATTCATGTAGATACTGAATAATTCATTATAGATACTGAATAATTCATAGAAGTTACTGAATAATTCATAGTGGATACTGAAAGATTCACAGTACATACTGAAAGATTCATGGTGGATACTGAATAATTCACTGTAGATACTGAATAATTCACAGTAGATACTGAATAATTCATAGTAGATACTGAAAGATTCACAGTACATACTGAAAGATTCATGGTGGATACTGAATAATTCACTGTAGATACTGAATAATTCATAGAAGTTACTGAATAATTCATAGTGGATACTGAATAATTCATAGCAGATACTGAAAGATTCATAGTGGATACTGAATAATTCACTGTAGATACTCAATATTTCATAGTAGTTACTGAATATTTCATAGAAGTTACTGAATGATTCATAGTGGATACTAAATAATTCACAGAGGATATTGAATAATTCACTGCAGATACTGAAAGATTCATATGGATACTGAAAGATTCATAGTGGACACTGAGTGATTCATAGTAGTTACTGTATAATTCACTGTAGATACTGAATCACCAGCTTCAGTTGGATGCGCTTTAACCTCCCTGACAGCCCCTCTATGATCTGAGAGTTAAACTCACAACTCGTGGACGTAGTCGTCTTTGACGTTGACGTTGAGGCTGTACTCCTGCAGCAGACTGTTCACACACAGCTTCAGGGTACTGATGTCCTCCTCCACCTGGTAATTATACACACCTGCATAGACGGCAGAGCGGTCAGTCACTTACAGCTACTCAGGTAAAGTGCTGTCCAGGGGAATTTGTTAAAGGAACAGTTCAGCAAAATAATCAAATTTAAAAAGTTTCGCCTCATTCATCCAAAGGTAGTGGGATCAGTCAGGACACGTTTGGTCTCTGAAGTCTGCTTCTTTAGTTTTAACTCTGAAGCTACTAATGTAATGGCGTCGATACTTTTACAATAATAATGGATTTAAATTATTATTGGTTATAAATTAGATGACACAGACCTTGAAGATCATCAATAAGCAGCTCTAACGCATAAATAAAAGGGTAACAGTGAGCTGCTTTATGTGATGAGTATGAACATATGAAGCTGATCGAGAAGACAAAGTAACCACAAAGATCTGAGCTTTAACGCTGCAGATGAATGTGAGCTCACTATTTAGCAAGAAACAGGCCACTTTCACTCCTTTGTTTATGTATAAATGCTTGTCACTGACTATAAGGTATTTATGAACTAATTAATACTGATAAACTGATTATAAACCACTCATAAACTCTTTATAAGGGCAGGTTTATTGTAAAGTGATACTGTAAAGTGATACCAATGTAGCAATGTAACAAAAAAGACTATTTATAGTTTAATAGATTACTATAATAAACACACACACAGATATTATGTATATATAAAAGACTATTAGACATTAACAAACAACTACAAATGGTTTGAGACCAGTGATGATTGAGCCATGCAGTTAGCACCATGCTAATTATTGTTGGCGTTCATTATTACTCGTTAGATACATTAGCCTTGACGCTGTAGCGCTCTTTCAGGCACTGAGCTGATCCTCTACATTTGGGGTGAGGGGGAAACTGAACTGTTCCAGTGCTGGCTTTGATATATGTCTGGTTTTGCTGGTTCTGGTGGTACCTGGGTAGCGAGAGTGTTGCTGATAGAACCGGTCAACAGCGCGCAGCATTAGGTACAGAACCATCTCGCTGTCTGGACTGTCCATGCAGGAAGCTGAAACACACACGCGTAAGAAACTAGGGCTGAGTGAGGCATCGTTTATCAAGCCAAGTGGGCAAATACAGAAAGTTCCTACATGAGATGGTTATGAATTCACTGCCTGATGACTGAGACACTGTTTTATGATAGTTTAGAGAACTTAAACTCCATTCATGGTGGAGGGATACATAATATGCAGGGTGCTGTGAGGCAAAATAGTCCCCAAAGAAAACTTTTTATTATTTCAGATTTTCCACTATTTTCCATCATCAATATTCCATATATATGGGAGAATATATGGGATATCTGTGCACTCAATATAATAACAACAATAATATAAACTATAAAATATCAGAAAACAATACTTTTGAGCAATGAACAAAACAGAAAACACAAAGTTCAAATGTTAAAATAAAAAAGAGAAAGAAAGAAAGAAAGAAAGAAAGAAAAAGAGGAGGGAAAAGACATACAAGAGAATGAATGCAAAGAGAGAGGAATAAAAGATGTAAGAGAGAAAGAAAGAAAGAGAATAATATGGTTCAATCAGTGAACATTCGGTTAACTGTGATTAGCAGAGTTAAAGGGGAACTCCAGCAATCTTTCAAAATTCTCTGTGTAAATAAGTGGTAAAGATGTAAACAGAGTCGTTCAGAGTGGTTTGGTGTGAAACGCTCCGTTCTAGAGAAACTTACCGCGTCAGAACTGTTCACAGTGGTGGTGATAGGAACCAGACGTCCACCTCTAAAAGCTCCCTCACAGAAAGTTCCTACATGAAATGGTTATGAATTCACTGCCTGATGACTGAGACACTGTTTTATGATAGTTTTGTGAAGTTTTAAATCAAATTATTTTAATAAATCCATATTCAAATGATACGAGAAGGATGTTGTCAGGCAAAACAGTCCCCAAAAAACTTTTCCACTATTTTCCATCATCAACATTCCATATAAACTCAGAAGACTCGTGTAGGTTCACTGGTGGTTCTGGATAGTAAATAAAATGTCTATATCTGTGTTGTAGTCATGGCGACCCCTGGTTCCTATCACCACCACTGTAAAGACATCTGAACCATTTCACACCAAACCCCTCTGAATCACTCTGTGTACATCAAACATCAGAGGAATCAGCAGCATTTACTAATATTTGAATATAAGACCTTGACTCTGATATTTCGTTAGCATTGCATTAAAGCACTAATTCTAATTTGACAGTACGAGTGTGAGAACCGGCCGGCCCAACACAAACCACTGCTCATTATTCCCACTGAACACGTCTCAGCGTCTAACACTGCTCTAATGCGCTTATTCCAACCAGTTTTTAAGGGTCCTAATGAACGAGTCGTCCTCCATGTGTACGTTTACTCACTGATGGTGTCTTTGTGGAAAGTGTCCACGCTGTACTCTTCAGCCAGACTCCTGCAGCGGACCACCCTGAGGAACGCTGCGTTCTTACCTGAGGGACACATACACAGTCAGGCCAGCAGGTGGAGACACAGTACACTGTTATTATACAGACACAGTCAACAGGTTTAAGTAATGAGTAGCTTCATTATTGTGTTTAAGTCGAGGCAGAAAATCACAAACGTGCAGTTCTGTGCAAGAAAACTGTTTCAGACTATTTATCTGGGCAGAAAGTGTGTTTGTTCCAGTAGAAACAAGAAAATAACATTAGAATAACCATAAATAAAGATAAATACAGTCAGCAGTCAGAAAGTGCTGTTTTCAGTAAAGTTATGAATATGTAGTTTAGAAGAAGACATTTGGAAGAACACAGGTTAGGTTCTCAGGCGCTTTGTTCAGTTCCATCAGCAGCACCTGATTCATTTTAATGAAGGGCTGAGCAGATGCAGCAGGTGTTGGGTGGTACAGTAATCATAAATACTGGATTTCCTTAAGGAGAACTCTGGAAAAGGTTAAACTAACACACCAAACAATCGCAATGTATTTTTAATTTGTATTCATTCCAATATTAGTGTATTTTTTAAATCACATAAATACTTTCTGATCAGGTTTATAACTTTTGCCAAAGCTCCTAAATAATAAACACATACGTAGCTACATATTACACTAAAGGCAGCTTCTTATTTGCCAGCCTCTCGTTTTAATTTTCCGTTCCACCTTAAATGAAGCTGCAGTTACACTGAGGCGCCTTAAACATAGAACAAATTTCAAAAGCTGCCGAATATGAAACAATATCAGCTCAGCTCAATAAACACATTAATTTACCTCAATAAATACATTAATGTACCTCAATAAACACATTAATTTACCTCAATAAATACATTAATTTACCTCGATAAATACATTAATTTACCTCAACAAACACATTAATTTACCTCAACAAACACATTAATTTACCTCGATAAATACATTAATTTACCTCAATAAATTATTAATTCACCTCAATAAAAGCTCCTTAATCAACAAACCCCTTAAACTTCCTCTTGGAGGTGTTTAATGAGCAGCTAACGAGCAGCACAGCAGAGCAGCTGCTGATCATGTCTCACTGGCTGATCTAACGCCGCGATCCCAAACCACACACTTCTGTACTTCACCTACTGCACTAATGAGTGCACTTCTAATGGGATATGGACTATTTTACACACTATTTAGTGAGCTAGTACGCGGTTTAGGACGGGGCGCTAGTAACGCAGCGGGAAATCTCAGCCGTTTAGATTTCAGCTTTCATTTGTTAATCACTACAGCAACAAATCAAATAAAGTCAAGTCAATAAACTCAAATATCAGTTAATATGCTTTAAAGACTTAAAAACTTCAAAAAAAGCGTTGCTGTCTTTGCTGGATCAGTTGGCTTTTATCTCATTACAAACAGACACAGCACTGCTGAATGAACTTGAAGTTGCCTGTCAAAATGGTAGCAGCGCGATTGTGACGTCAACAGAATACTATCAATAGCACGAATGAGCACGTTACATCTCCACTTCATAGAATCCAAACCTTTCTAGATCACCTTCTAACCTCTCTTTATCCCTTACAATTAAACAGCCTGTTTTTGTTACCATGACTGAAATATGTAAATGAGCTCTGTTCTGATCTCAGTCAAAAAGCAGTCTGGCTGAAACACTCCTTATAACTTCAGTGTGAGTGGGCGGAGCTAAAGTGCCACAGGCTGAATGGGCAGATATAAAAATGTGTTGGTTTGGGTGACAAAAATAACAATTTCAAAACAGGCTGCTTTTGCAATTTAATTTAAAACATGAACTGTATGTTTCCCATGATTTGAGCCCTTTAAACGGTCAGGGGTTCGAATGAGCCGTACTCACAGAAAAGTTTGATGTCCTGCTCTGAGATGCTCTCCGAGGCTTCAGAAGGAGAACACAGACAAGATTAGAGACAAAACGTCCTCCACAGTGCGCTCAGTAACCGCACCGCCCTCCTGTACAGTGAACTAACAGGGAGACTCTCAGTGTTGAAGGGGTACGTTACCTTCCCCACGGCCTGCAGGTGGGACTGTATGTGTTTCGCCACCACAGCGGCGTCCTGCAGCGCTTTCTCTCTGTAGCTGAAGGAACAACAGCAGACAAACATACTGCATTCATAAGACTCGCCTGGTCGGTCAGTTCATCATCTCGACCCACAGAGAAGCTTCTGTTTAAGCTCTTAAACTCTAATGGACTGAACTTTAATTCCTCACTCTCACAGCTACAGGACTCATAGAATTCAGAGTAGACACCGAAAAATGTACAGTAGATATTAAATAATTAAATAGATACTGAAAAAGTCATAATAGATACTGAAAGATTCATAATAGATACTAAATAATTCATAGTAGATGCTGAATAATTCATAACAGATACTGAAAAATTTACAGAATATATTAAAGAATCCATAGTAGATACTGAATAATTCATAGAATATATTAAAGAATTCATAGTAAATACTGAATAATTAATAGCTGATACTGAATAATTCATAGAAGATACTGAATAATTTACAGAATATATTAAATAATAATTCATATTAAATACTAAATAATTAATTGCAGATACTGAATAATTCATAGAATGTATTGAATTCATAGGCGATCCTGAATAATTAAAGATGACGTATATGTGGACGTACACATTCTGCAGGCTGATGAATTTGTCCGAGTCGGCGATCATGTCTGGGATGGTGCCGCGGACCGGAAGGCTGCCGTTCCCTTCATTCTGCACAAAATCCCTCACGCCTCGCGCCATCAGCCAGAACGCCACCGTCTGTACACAGACACAGGAACACACACACACACAGGTACACACACACACACACACACACACACACACACACACAGGTACACGCGCACACACACACACACACACACAAGAACAACAGATAATGAGAACTACTTTCAGGAGCTAAACATTTTAACTGATAATATCAGCTGATATCATTTTATACGCTCAAAAATAAATAGTAAATTTAATAGAGAATTAAATAAAAAGGATGTTTTTTATTGGAAGCAATAAAACATTAATAAACTACAATAATCGAGTCTGACCTGTGACGTGATGTTCTCACACAGCTCCGAGTTGAAGATGTCCTCCACCGCGCTGGAGATCTACAGAACAGCGAGATCCACACATCAGCACAGCAAGCCAGCAACAGTAACAGTGGAGTCAGCATTAGCATTAGCATTAGCGTTAGCCACACCTTGGTGGGGTTGAGGGCCGTGTTTACGTTCTTTATGGCTTCATCAAAGTTCTCCTCTTCCTCAGGGGCGCCGCTTTCATTCTTACGAATCCCTGATAGAACATCAGGAGAGGAAAGTAGAACCAGCAGCAACACAAACACACCAGAACCAACACAATTACACTCTAATCACTCAACGATACGAATACCTTATAATATTAATGATGTATTACCTTCTCTGATGAGCTGCCTGAAGGCCTCCTTCTCCTTGTAATTTTTCGGTACCTGAAAGTCGTGCTGGGGATGAAGCGAAAAGGAAAAGCGATCATGTTTGAAAGTTTAGGGCTGCGTGATAATATCAGAATCATATCGTTATCACAGGATAATTGCTTAAAATAGATCAGCAGCCTCAGATGATTGAATCTGACTGATATTTCATGTTGTATTTATTGAAGCAAAAAGTTTAGGTCAGGACAACATGCGGCTCTTTTACTGCCCTGTTGTGGCTCCACAGCAGAATCAGATTTGTAGGTAAAAATAAAATAATCCTCCTTTACAGTAAAATAAAGCTCTGCTGATCGTTCAACACAGTTTAACAATAAATGGTCTTAAACTCTGGAGTTAATGTAGAACTGCTGATTCACCCTTTAACCCTGAAGATCAGCACAGACTGCTGGTCACCATAGCAACACAGACAACAATCTCGCCTAGCTAGTAGCTAACGAAACGGCAAAGAGAGAGATTTAAGACGAACATCAATAATTTGGAGACAAATTGACTTATTTGTGTTTATAATCACTCCAGCTGGTTTCCTGACACGTTTAATCTGCAGTGAGAAACTGACAAACACTAAAAAGTTGCGAGGCTGAAGTCAGTTTCTCATTCGCCAGCTTCTTGCTCGAATTTTTCCACCTTAAATGGGGCAGCAGTTACATTCTAGCGCCTCAGGCACCATTTAAGGTGAAACGGGAAAATTCAAACAAGAGGCTGGAGAATGAGAAGCGACTTCAGCCTCGTAAAAAGTTGAACGTTGAGAGACGTTTTACAAGAAACTGTTCTACTTTTGAGGAAAAGTTTCCTGCTGGAGATGCGAGAAAAGCAGCTATAGCTGAGCTAAAGCTTAAAGCAGAGCAAAGTAAGTCTGAGTTTTTATTTATATTGCATTTTTAGCTTATCTTTGACCATCAGCACATACTGAGACATATTTACAGCCAAGATGGTAAAACATTACTTCATTAAAATGGATATAAAATGTTGTGGCTCTCGAAAGGACAAAACGGCTCATCTTAACATTTGGGTTGCTGATCTCTGGTTTAGGTGATGTTGAGTTTCTCCACTAAAATACCTGCATTTTATTGATTTTACTGCATTTGTAACTCTCTAGTTCTCGGTAGTACTACAAGTGAATTTAGTCCAAATTTCTACATTTTATAAATGTTTGTATCGTACTGGCAGATATGTACATCAAAAATTTCTGATATTGGTGCATCCTTCGAAAATTGCAATATATTCTACTTACATTCTAAATATATAACAATACATTTTTTGTTTACAGGGGAGCGAACTGATGAGTAATGTTCACATTCAGACAGTCGCAGGCAGGTCAAATATTCTTGAATATTTTACCTCATTGTACCACTTTTCCAGATATTTGGCAACTACAACGATCCAGGGTGTGTGACTGTGATCCTACAGCAATAAAGAAGACAAAAAGCATGAGATAATTAAACATTTGTATGTAACTCGAATTCAAAACCTCGCATACCCAAAATCATAATTTGATCTGAGAAGGAAAACAATGTCCTTAACACTTTTAACGTATTTGATTTTATCGTAAATAAATCAGAACTTCTATCACAAACTGTTCACACGATGTGTTTTTCAGGGTCACCTTCTTCTCCATGCCGTCCAGGTCGTACGTGGCGATGTGGTTCTTCAGCTCAGTGAACGGCTGGTCCAGTCTCAGATCCTCCAACGCGTTATCTGGGTGAGACTCAACGACTGAAAGAGGAATACAGATATAAATCAGTCCTGCTCACCTGTTCATCCATCTGTTCATCACTGACGGCATAAAATCACAGACTAATCCAGACCTTTAGACGGCTGCTTCTGTGATTAGCTACACTAATGTACTTTAGTCCATGTTTATAGACAACAGGGTATCATACAGCGTCAGAACCCCACGATCAGGCCACCACATCGTCTCTCAGAACGATCAGCACAGTCTTCAGCATAAATAAGAACTCGCAATACTTCACACAACTAACGCTTGTATATAATGTGGTTCAGTTACTGTTCCAGCCAGGTTTCCTCTCACCATCAATGATGTACATCTATCCAATACATAGAAATATCCATCCATCCATCCATCCATCCATTCATCCACCCATCATCCGTCTACACTATTAAATATACCATCCATCCATTGATGTCTGTTGATCTATCTGTCATCCATCCAACCATTTATCCATCTAATTTTCTATCTATCCATCAATTCATCTAGATAACCATCTCACTATTCATGCATCCATTTATCCATCTATCATTCATTCATCTATCCACCCCTCCATCTAGCTATCATTCAGTGCCACTGATTATACCATACATCCATCGATTTACCTATCTATCTGTCCATCCCTCTGTCTATCTATCTATCTATACTACACATCAATCTACCTGTTTATGTATCTATCTATACCATTAATTATATCACACATCCATCCATTTTACTGACTATACCATCCATCAACTTATCTATCCATCCATCCATCCATCCCACTAATTATACCATACATCCATCAATCTATCTACAACACTATCCTATCCATCCATTGACGTATCTATCTAGCCATGTATCCATCCATTTATCCATCTAATTTTCTATCTACTCATCCATTCATCTAGCTAACCATCTAACTATTCATGCATCCATTTATCCATCTATCATTCATTCATCTATCCACCCCTCCATCTAGCTATCATCTGTCAATGCCATTGATTATACCATACATCCATCGATTTACCTATCTCTCTCTCTATCTATTTATGTATCTATCTATACCATTAATTATATCACACATCCATCCATTTTACTGATTATACCATCCATCGACTTATCTATCTATCTATCTATGTCTATCCCACTGATTATACCACACATCCATCGATTTACCTACCTATCTATCTATCTATCTATCTATCTATCTATCTATCCCACTAATTATACCATACATCCATCAATCTATCTACAACACTGACTATCCCATCCATCCATTGACGTATCTATCTAGCCATGTAACCATCCATTTACCATCTAATTTTCTATCGACTCATCCATTCATCTAGCTAAACCATCTAACTATTCATGCATCCATTTATCTATCTATCTATCTTTCATTCATCTATCATCCCTCTATCTAGTTATCATCTGTCAATACCACTGATTACACCATATATCCATTCATCTATCTACAACACTGACTATACCATATATAGACGTTTCTATCTAGCCATTTATCTATCCATCTTTTCATCTAACCATCTATCAGTCCATTTATCCATCTATTCATCCATCCATCCCTGCTTCACATCCACACCATTGTACACCATAATTTCATTCCCACACATGATGTACATTACTGTTGTTTGTACTACCACACAAACGTATCGCTGCTGTCGGAAGAAAACCTCGTATCTCCAACATGGCAACTTTACAGGAGAAGGAAAAACATACGGTACTTTTAATGTAAGTCAATAAAACCAGACTTTTTTCCAAGTCATTTTGGGAAATTTCTTTTGGTGCAGTCATCATGAAATTTACATGCCATGTAAAGGGTAACAGGTATTTTCAAACTATGTCAGAAACTGAAAAATGGAGATACGAGGTTTTCTTCCAACAGCAGCGTTACGTACACTGCTTGTCCCTATATGATATTACATTATGTTGATTGTATATTGTGTATTTTTTGTCTGTAAATTATATGTACGTTGTCTGTATATTATAGTCCTTATATAGTCTGAATATTGCTTGTATACTGTGTAAACTGTGTATAGGGTATATTGTAATGTATATTGTGTGCGTGTTAACGTACATGGCCAATAAATCTGTTTTGAAACCATCTGTCTATATCACTGACCAACCCACTGACCCATCCATCCATTCTGAAGTTTCATCTGTCTCTTCATCCATCCGTGCAGATTTCTAATTAATGGATGAATTATTGAATAAACATCAACACTGATATGAGCTTCATCTCCTGATATTGATCCTCTCTGTTGTTTTTGTTTACCTGTGTGCTCCTTCACCACCAGCCTCATGTAGCCGACGAGTCCGTACGTCCTACAGACGAGGAACGGAACGCCGGCGCTCCATAACACTGAGCCCAACCGCAAACACGTACTGTAAACACAAACAAACACTCTCATACACTCACATCAGACAACAGAGTGAAGAACTGTGAACAGATCACTCTGTAACTGAGGTTTATGAATTATGGAGAATAACGGAGAGAATAATTCACTAACTAAAGAGAATAACAGACACAGTAACGAATGAATCGCTAAACAAACAAACACAGCTGAGAAAGTCTGAGTCTGCTCTGAAGCATGTTTAATACTCAGTTTTACTTGCTATTTAATATAATATAATGATGTTAACTGATCATTTAAAATTGTTTTTTTTCAGCAAACCAGCTCATTACTTTACAAAGCAACTTTACGCATTTCATTTTGACATTTTCCAGTATTCCAATATTACAGCTGTACCTCTCTGGAAGCTGGACTCCAATGACCAGACTGAATCTGTGGAAGAATTCAGGGTCGTTATCCAGGAGTTTGTCAGGACTCTAAAAAAATAGAAAGATAAAGACAATAACATTAGGATATAGAGGAGATCTACGCACTCAATAATAATAGTAGTAATAATAATAATAATAACATTGTAAAATGTTTTCAGAAAACAACACTTCAGCGGAATGAACAAAACATAAAACAAAATTCAAAGGAAGGAAGGAAAGAAACAAGGAGGAATGGAACTCTGATTGGCAGAGTTAAAGGGGAACTCCAGCAATCTTTCAAAATTCTCTGCGTAAATAACTGGTTAAGATGTAAACAGAGTCGTTCAGAGTGGTTTGGTGTAAAACACTCCATTCTAGATAAACTTACCGAGTCAGCACTGTTCACAGTGGTGGTGATATGAACCAGACGTCCACCTCTAAAAGCTCCCTCACAGAAAGTTACTACATGAAATGGTTATGAATTCACTGCCTGATGACTGAGACACTGTTTTATGATAGTTTTGTGATAATGTTTTTTGTCTAAAACATAATTTAATGAATTTATTTTAATAAATCCATGGTCAAATGATATGAAAAGGATGTTGTCAGGCAAAATAGTCCCCAAAGAAAACTTATTATTTCAGATTTTCCACTATTTTCCATCATCAACATTCCATATAAACTCAGAAGACTCGTGTAGGTTCACTGGTGGTTCTGGACAGTAAATGAAATATCTATATTTGTGTTGTAGTCATGGCGACCCCTGGTTCCTATCACCACCATAAAGACATCTGAACCATTTCACACCAAACCACTCTGAATCACTCTGTTTACACCTCACACACTGAATTATGGGGGAATTTTGAGTCATGCAGACAATAAAAACAGTACACCGCACTTTTCTTTTGGATTTTTAACTCTTAAAACAGTTTGTTTTCAATCAGTTTTAATTCTCAGAGTTGGATAATATCCTGATCATTTTAGAGTTTGATCGTTTTGGACACAACACAACCACATACATCACTGAGTCTAATCACAGCTGATTATAACACTACGAGATTATGCAGCTGAATTAGTAGTGAGTGAAATGTGAAATAAAGATGTGAAATCCATACATGAACGTTTTTGCTTATACACCGATCAGGCCTAACATTCTGACCACCTCCTTGTTTCTACACTCATTGTCCATTTTATCAGCTCCACTTACTATATAGGTGCACTTTGTAGTTCTACAGTTACAGACTGTAGTCCATCTGTTTCTCTGATACTTTGTTACCCTTTTACCCTGTTCTTCAGTGGTCAGGACCCCCATGGACCCTCACAGAGCAGGTACTATTTGGGTGGTGGACTATTCTCAGTCCAGCAGTGACACTGAGGTGTTTAAAAACTCCAGCAGCACTGCTGTGTCTGATCCACTCAGACCAGCGCAACACACACTAACACACCACCACCACCCAAATAGTACCTGCTCTGTGAGGGTCCATGGGGGTCCTGACCACTGAAGAACAGGGTAAAAGGGGGCTAACAAAGTATCAGAGAAACAGATGGACTACAGTCTGTAACTGTAGAACTACAAAGTGCACCTATATAGTAAGTGGAGCTGATTAAATGGACAATGAGTGTAGAAACAAGAATCATAATGTGATGTCTGATCAGTGTATGTTTATATATTATTATTGCCTTATAAGTTAATCTGTGATTATAAACTTGTTACCTCCTCCACGAAGTTTCCAGAAACATCACTGTTGAGCTCCTGCAGGAACTCCGTAGCAGCCTGAGCTCTGTTCTACAACACAAAACAACAACAACAACAACAACATCAACATCACTTTACACGCTGTATATAATGTCTTTATTAACTAGATGATTTGCGAACTGCACTGAGCAGAGCTCACCTTCCCAATACTGTCACTGCTGAGGAAGAAACTGCAACACAAACAGGGAGAGAGATTAGCTCGTCTACAGGCTTAATAACAGGGGTTCTTCAAGGGTTCTTTAGTGAAAGAAAACGGTTCTATATAGAACCATGAACACCAAAGAACCCTTTGCTTGTTTAAACGGTTCTTTGCATCATCAAAGTGTTCTTCATACTGACATAGAACGTGCTGTAGACGGTGCTGTTGGGACGATGCCAAGCTTGTAACAATAGCGGAACCCTATTTGGTAGTTGGTGCTATATAGAACCATTTTCAAGAAGGTTCTATATAGCACCGTCTACAGTCTTAATAACAATGGTTCTTCAAGGGTTCTTTAGTGAAGAGAACGGTTCTATATAGAACCATGAACACCCAAAGAACCCTTGGCATGTTTAAATGGTTCTTTGCATCATGAAAGTGTTCTTCAGACTGACATAGAACATGCTGTAAACAGACAATGCCAAGCTTGTAACAACAGCAGAACCCTATTTGGTGCTATATAGAACCATTTTCAAGAAGGTTCTATATAGTACCGTCTACAGCACATTCTCCATCAATCTGAAGAACCTTTTCATGATGCAAAGAACCATTTAAACATGCAAAAGGTCTTGGGCGTTCATGGTTCTACATAGAACCGTCTTGTTTAGGAGCGTATAATATAACTGTAATTGTGATGTAATTCTGTCAGATATGTAATGAAAGAGGTAACAGTACTTGTTCCCGACGTCCTCCCCGGTCACTCTGTGTCCGTCGACGATGGTGAACGCACCGATGCCTGACAGAGGAAGTGAGAACAGCACAGTGAATCCACTCAGGCTGTTTATGAGGGTTTTATAGCAATAATAACTCAAGATGACTGGAAACGTGGTTCATATGTGCCTTAGGTCACTTTATTGTTCAGGGACCGTCTTATATTTATATTATTTGTTTATTATTCTATTTTCCTACAATTAGTGTTTATTTTTACGATTAGCGTTTAGTGTCTATTTAATTCGCATATTTCCTGTTTACTGTCTATTTTTCCTTTCTTTCTTTTCTTTGCCGAGTTGAACAGCTGCTCATCCTGTGCGTCTGATGCTGCTGCCTCTTCTGCCTTGATCGGGTGCCACTGCTGCCAGCCCTCTGGACCGGCTTATCACCATTGAGCTTCATGCTGTACAACGCCGAGCAAACCTCACCCTCACAACCTGACACCCACTGATGCTGCTGCTGCTGCATAAACTAAACTAATCAATTTAATCATTTGCTCCACCTGTTTTCCCCGTTTTTGTACTATAATACTTTATACTAATAATGTTTTACTATCTGGTGTCAACCAGAGGAGGATGGGTTCCCCTTCTGAGTCTTGGTTCCTCTCAAGGTTTCTTCCAGTTTCTCTTAGGGAGTTTTTCCTTGCCACTGTCGCCATTGGCGACGCTCATGGGGGCTCGGACCCAGATTTTTCTGTAAAGCTGCTTTGTGACAACACCTGCTGTAAAAAGCGCTACATAAATAAACTTTGCTTGCTATTTAATGTTATTGCTACACCATGTTTCAATACTCTGTATGTCCTGTACATATTGTAGTATTGACAATAAAGCTGACTTGACTTGATATCACAGACGGTGCTTCATTAAAGGGCCCATATCACAGAGAACTGCTCCTCTCTATTCTGAAATGCCGTCCGCTCTCCAGTCCATACAGCTCATTTACGGGTATTAAACTGCTAAATCAGCCCCTTCTGAATTCACCGTTTCTGTGGTGTCACAGAAATCAACACATTAGCACAGAGCTGCCTAGTTGGCCTACAGCAGTTAAGCCCCTCCCACTCACACTGAAGTTATAAGGAGTGTTTCAGCCAGGACTGCTTTTTCAATGAGGCAGCCAATCAGAACAGAGCACATTTACATACATCAGTCTTAAAGGCACAGTGGCTGTGTTTACATGCAAAGATTTTTGCCAGTCCGATTGAATACCTTCCGATTACAGATTCAGACTGAGGTGTTTATTCTCACTCTACTCAACAATCTGATGGAAAATCTCTGTTTACATGCTCACTACAAGTAATCTGATCCAAAATGACGCACATGCGTAGAGAACCACTTAGTGTAGACGTTACCATGGCAGCGAACATCACGTGAGTCCAGTCAGAGTGAGATGAGCAGCAGTGAGCAGCGCTTGTGTATTTAATGACTTTAAAATGATGTCAGACTCAGGAAAACGTCCTTCACATGTCCTTATTAAAGAAGGCCGAGAGGAAGACGTCGTGTTCTGAGACACATAAGCTGAAAATATGTGGTCCTAGATCGGATATGTATCTGATTCGCGGCCATGTGACCTTAATGTGACGCTCAGCTCTGAATTCATGTGTTTTTTTCCACTGCGCTGTGCCATCATTCAGCGTTACCATGGCAGCAGCGCCGAACAGAAGCTAAAGCCTGTAAACGGTGGAAAAGCAGCTCATCTCACCTTTTTCTCCTTCGTCTTGCTCTAATAATGAAGCTGAGAGCTGATCAGAGTTAATTATCTTCTCAGCGAAGCTCGTTCTGCTCGTTAGTTTGTGCTGATGATGAACGTGATTCGTTCACGTGACGTTACTGAGTAGGATGAGCTCATGAGGGTCATTTCAGGACGCCGGTTCGTCACATTAATGACAGATTTGAGTCTCTTACCTAAACGAGTGTGAACCATCGTGTCAGAGAGATCGGATTTGAGCAAAAAAATCGGATTTGAGCAACGAGGCTTGTAATGTGAACGTAGCTAAAGTGACTCAGGTCGGATTTGAAAAGATCAGATTTGTGTGTCCACACAGCCCTGAAAACATCAGATCTGAGTCACATTAAGGCAAAAAATCGGATTTGTGCGACTTCAAATGAATCTTTTTAGTCAACTGTGTCTGAACACATCGGAATTAGACCTCCACATTTAACCCATCCGTGCAGTGAAACACCACATACACACTAGGGGAGCCCGGGGAGCAGTTGGGGGTTAGGTGTCTTGCTCAAGGGCACTTCAGTCACGTGCTGTCAGCTGAGGGGATCGAACCGGCGACCTTACGGTCACAAGGCTGGTTCCCTAACCTCCAGCCCACAACTGTCACGACTGTCAGTCAACCTGATAATGTGAACGTAGCCTCATATGGCTCTCTGTGAATTTCTATGCTTAATTTTAGAACTTCACTCAGAACTTCATTCTGGATGTTAATTTTACTACATCTTCATTTTTTCTACATCTTTCTCTGAGAGTTGAGAATCTTCTGCAGCTCTGTTCGTCATCCTGAACTCATCTAACATTCCCACACTTCTATTTACAGCTTCACGCTGACGATCTGAGAGCTGTGAAGTTGTACAGGACTAATATTTTGAAATACCTGTATTCATTCATCTTTAACCAATTTGGTTTTACATTACTGAAAACGTGTGATACCAAACTTTTAAACAGTTGCGTATATAAGAACCAGCCTTGTGACCGGAAGGTCACCGGTTCGATCCCCTGCGCCAACAGTACGTGACTGAAGTGCCCTTGAGCGAGGCACCTAACCCCCAGCTGCTCCCTGGGGGCTGCAGATAGGGCTGCCCACCGCTCCAGGCAAGTGAGCTCACTGCCCCTAGTGTGTGTGCTCACTAGTGTGTATGTGGTGTTTCACTGCACGGATGGGTTAAATGTGGAGGTGGAATTTCCCCACTGTGGGACTAATAAGGGTCACTTAATCTGATCTTAATCTTAAGAAGCAGAGGAGGAAGGCTCTATGAAGACTCAATCAAGACCCTACGCCAGGGGACCCCAACACTGGTCCTGGAGATCTACCACCCTGCAGAGTTTAGTTCCACCCCTAATCTAATCCACCTGATCCAGGTGATGAGGGTCTTCAGGAGCTTCTGAGTATTAAAGCCAGGTGTGTTGGATCTGAGTTCTCCAGGACCAGGACTGGACACCTGGGCAGGCTCTTTGAATGTTCTGCTGACACCTGGACTGGGAGAAATTCATCGCACACTCTCTACTTGCACAGAGAAGGTTCTGGTCCTGGTTCTACCTGGCAGGATGAGGTTCTTCAGGATTTCAGTGCCAGTTGCAGTGGCGTTCAGCAGGCAGGTGTGGGCATTTTCCAAAGCCTCCTGTCCGTGATCTCCCCACAGCCTTCAGGACACACAGAACACACAGGAATGAGGGTCCCTCTGCGTTATAAACGCTGTACAGCTGAATCTGATCAGGTGTGAATGTAGTGAACAGGCCCAGCCGCTCTGAGCTGCAGCGCTCAGTCAGCGAGGAAACACAACAGAACCTGAACCGCCACTGTAGGGCGGAATTTTAAAAATGGGTATTTTACCTCAGCTGTCTGTCGTATCTCTGCTCTTTGTTCGTTTTCTGGTCTGCCATGCTCCACAGTTTTTAACACCCTATTTTTGTCTGCAAATCCGGCCGGTAAACTGCCCCAAAACCCGTTTCCCCCGCACAAAACTAACCCATCCGCAGATTCGCCACAGCCGCTCGGTTCAGTCCCAATCCGCCCTGCTCCCTTATTCACTAGGAGAAAATGCACTTTTCGTTTGCATATTACAGCGGGTATCGGTCTCACTGTGTCAGACGGCTGTGGCTGAACTTTATTTTAAAGCTGAAAGAATCTATTTGTGTTTTCAGAGGTTTAAATATAACTTTCGTCTCCTCCCTCGTTTATAAGCAGATCGCTCCCTATTTAGGGCACTAGGGCAACGAAGACCGCTGCGCTTCTTCTGCGCAGCTTCGGCGGGGCACAAGCAGCGCACACGGCCGCCACCTGGCGGTCAATAATTGAATCGCAAGTGAAACAGGGAAAAGAACTGAATAACAAATAAATAATTTAATGAAAGATATTAACAAAAGAATGGAAAATAGATATCGTCCATGAACCTCATGTCACTGAAATAATAATAATAATAATAATAATTTTACATGAGAAGAAAAAAAAACGTTCTTACCTAAATGTATGTGAATATTACAAGAATAATTTTGGACCATTTGCATTGGGTCATTCATCATAACATGTTCACAGGATGTAAAGGGCAGTTATAAGCCATAAGATGGATGAAGTGAGTGTACCCTGCATAATGTACATTTAATAAATTACCTCACTTAAACCTACTTAATATCTACATATTTATGAAGCCTTTATCCATTCTTTGATAATCAGTCTCTTTTCCGAGCTGTAGTTAATATAAACTGCCCTTAAAGCCAATGTTAACCAAACAGCTCTAAAACTGCAGTGCGCATCAGCGGCCGCCAGGTGGAGCAACTTCACTACATTTAAAATGAGACAGCTTTTACTGCGATCGTCGTTAGTGAAAAAATAGTCTCCACGTTTAGAAGATTCATTCTGGCTTTGTTTGACTTTGTTTTGTTATATGAACATCCTGTGACAATAAGAAAGCCATGAAACAGATTCATAAAATTTCTGATTTATATATAATGATCAAGGCCTTATGTATGTATGTAAGTATGTTTGTATGTATTACATATTATATATTATTGTGATTTATGACCCCCTGTATGCTCTTTATTAGAGTATGCACACTATATCTTTCATTATATATGTGACATTTCATCCCTTGATATGTCTGCAAATGTAAATAAATGAATAAATAAATAAATAAATATTGTTTTTATACTTCTTGCTTTCTGAGTCTCTGCACTGACCATCATAACACTGGGCTTTCATTTGGTCTAGTCTCAGACTTTGTGGTTTAATTTGTACAGGATTTATTGTACATAAACTGTAAATAATTTATAAAGTAATAACACTTAATAATTAGATTCTTTAATCAGTTACACTCGACATAATCATAGATCTATTCACCAGTTAATTTTGCCGTCACCAGAAAATTTTAAAATGAAATGCAAGTTTAAAAACCAAAAACAGCTGAAATTAATTTGTACATGATCATTTTCGAGCCTCTCTTTCTCAATTTATTAAACAGGCTGTTTTCGTTACCGTGCCTTTAAGACTGATATATGTAAATGAGCTCTGTTCCGATTGGCTGCCCTGTATTGAGCCTCATTCAGAAAGCAGTCTGGTCTGAAACACTACCTATAGCTGCGTGGGTGGAACTAAACCTAGAAACACCATTGCAACCACCTGGAACACCATAGCAACCACCTAGCAATGCTCAAGCAACCATCAGAGATACCATAGCAACTGGTTAGCAACACCCTAGCACCACTGGACACCATAGCAACCACCTAGCATGCTCAGCAACCATCAGAGATACCATAGCAACTGGTTAGCAAACCCTAGCACCACCTGAAACCATAGCAACCACCTAGCAATGCTCAAGCAACCATCAGAGATACCATAGCAACTGGTTAGCAACACCCTAGCAACCACCTGGAACACCATAGCAACCACCTAGCAACACTCAAGCAACCATCAGAGATACCATAGCAACTGGTTAGCAACACCCTAGCAACCACCTGGAACACCATAGTAACCACCTAGCAACACTCAAGCAACCATCAGAGATACCATAGCAACTGGTTAGCAACACCCTAGCAACCACCTGGAAATTGCTTAAAATGCACAACCACTGCGTTTTCTTCAGGAAGGGCCCTTTTCTAGCTGGCTAATGTTATTTTGCCCCTCCCACTGGTGCGCAGTGATGTCATCAAAATAAGTTATTACATTTTGATGGAACATTAAAAAAGGGAAACGAGAGTTTCGTCACAGAAACCTGAACTGATGATGTAAAAGGTCAGTTTTGGTTTCAGGCTGTATTTAGTGCTGATGCAGCGCCGCTGCTGTCTGTGGACAACAAACAGTTATTGGAGAACTTTTACAGCCCTGATACTAAGAGGACCGTGGGCCGCTGTCGGTCCACTAATGGCAAAGCTGGCGGTCCACTGGTGTTTTGCTCAGCGTTTTCTGGGCGGCCCACCGGTGGTTAAGCAGAGTATTAGACACAGTTTCACTCATCATCGCTCAGTTTCCACTTATAGTCCAATGTACTGATTTTCCTTCCTTCCTTTCTTTATTTATACCTCCTAAATTAATTTGGTTAATAATTTTGCTCTGTAAAATCACTTTAAATCAGGCCTGGTCATTATTTTTTCTCTCTCAGATGTTTGTAATATTTGTCTTAGTTTGTTTTCTAAAATAAAAGTCTCTCTGCGTGTAGTATCTGTTTAAGGAGATTAAAAACTAGTTAGATCTTGTATGCAGGACAGTAATCTGGGTGGTCCGAGGGTGGACCAGCAGTGGCGTACAGCAGGCGGGGTGCCGACCTTATCAAGCCAGAGGACCGATATCTGCTCACTATCTGGGAGAACGACTTAGACCATTTAAAAGGAACCGTATCATAGACAAACAGATACGACAGAAGGTGTAAACAGAGTGACTCAGAGTGGTTTGGTGTGAAACGGTTCAGATGTCTTTACAGTGGTGGTGATAGGAACCAGGGGTCGCCATGACTACAACACAAATATAGACATTTTATTTACTATCCAGAACCACCAGTGAACCTACACGAGTCTTCTGAGTTTATATGGAATGTTGATGATGGAAAATCGTGGAAAATCTGAAATTATAAGTTTTCTTTGGGGACTATTTTGCCTGCATGTCTCCCTCCCAGCTGCACCGTGTGGGTTTAGTTACAGACTGAACTGGGGACAGACATAATATACAGAATTTAGCAGATACTTACAAAAGATTGGGTTAAAAACTTCATAAATGTGAGCTTAAATGAGTGAATATGGTAAGAATCCGCTCCTTTTAGTGTTATTGTTTATTATAAACAATGTTTCCGTGATATAAACTGATGTATTTGGTGATTAAATATGTAAAATGCAGAAATTCTGCGCGCCTGTTTAATTATAATCATAATAGAGTCAGGTTAGGTGTGTCATCAAGCTGTGAGCTCGTTCTAAAGAGAACCTGCTGGTTCTGCCGAAGGACAAAAGAGGCCGTTGAACGAGTAACAGCTGCTGCGTGCAGCCCCCCACCCCACGGCATGCTGGGAAATCCCCCCATTCAGCTCCAATCTGCTCAGAACAGCTGACAGTGAGACGACCAGAGAAGAGCTTCAGCTCTGATCGGAGACAATCTACACTAAATCATGGCATTTGTTGGACCTAAAAAGTTGATTTTTTATAATTAGAGCTTTATTTAACGATGATATTATTAGAACGTTCATTTACGGTCTTTTATAGCAAACTCTGCTCATTATCATACAGAAACAGCTGGGATGAGTGAGCTGTGTTTACTGTTTTGACACCAGTTATTTTAAAAGTGCTATAGGAATAAAACCATATCTTAAAAATTAGAATGAGAACAGCGTTACGGCTCTTAAGAGTGCGGTAAACCCTCGTCCACTGAGCGCTGTGGTAAATGACCACTGTCCAGGCAGCTGTTGGGGAAAGTGCAGCACTTAAAGGCCCAAAACAGACACTGACATCTAGCGGATTAACTGTGACTCTCAGAGAGATTCAGCTCTTCCAGGCCTGCAGTTCATTTAGATTTAATTTAGATGTTTTATATGTTTACTGATTTAGATGTTTACTGATTTAGATGTTTACTGATTTAGATGTTTACTCCAAAACACACCAGCCTGAGTCGCTCTTAGTTATTTCAACTATACAGGTAAATCCGGCACAACAGCTGCCTGAAAGAAACACGCCCCAGATAGCGAGCGTACATATCGGTCCGCTGGCTTCATCAGGTCGGCACCCCACTGACTGTTTGCCACTGCTGGTCCCCCCCCCGGACCACCAAGGACCTACCTAGTTTTTAATCTCCCCAAACAGATTTTAAATGCACAGAGACTTTTATTTTACTTTTATTTCCACTTTACTGAGAGGAAATAATGACGAGGCCTGATTTAAAATGATTTTATAGAAAATGTTGCTGACTCTGAGATAGATTAGAATTATTTACTAAAGTTTACAAAGTATGAATAAAGAAAAGAAGGAAGGAAAAATCAGTAAACTGGACTGAGAGTGGAAAAGTGAGTGATGATCAGTGGAATTTTGTCTATGACTCTGCTTGGCCACTTGTGGACCGCCTAGAAAATGCTGAGCAAAACGCCAGCGGACCGCCAGATTTGCCATCAGTGGGCCGACAGTGGTCCACTATCCACTTGCTATCAGGGGCTACATACAGGTATTATACAGCTATATAATTCATACATTTTTATACAGGGGTCTAACAAAACATACTGATTTCTATCATAGCGCGTTAGCTTGTGTCCAACATAGACAGTGGCTATGTTAACTCAGGGCCGGTACGTTAGCTTTTTGCTAGAGTGTTAGCTCAGGGCGGGTACGTTAGCTTTTAGCTAGCGTGTTAGCTCAGGGCCTATACGTTAGCTTTTGGCTAGCGTGTTAGCTCAGGGCCGGTACGTTAGCTTTTAGCTAGCGCGTTAGCTCAGGGCCGGTACATTAGCTTTTGGCTGGCGGGCTGGCTCAGGGCCGGTACATTAGCTTGTGGCTAGCGCGTTAGCTCAGGGCCGGTACGTTAGCTTTTAGCTAGCGTGTTAGCTCAGCACCGGTACGTTAGCTTTTAGCTAGCGTGTTAGCTCAGGGCCGGTACGTTAGCTTTTGACTAGCGTGTTAGCTCAGGGCCGGTACGTTAGCTTTTTGCTAGCGTGTTAGCTCAGGGCCGATACGTTAGCTTTTAGCTAGCGTGTTAGCTCAGGGCCAGTACATTAGCTTTTAGCTAGCATGTTAGCTCAGGGCCGGTACATTAGCTTTTAGCTAGCGCGTTAGCTCAGGGCCGGTACATTAGCTTTTGGCTGGCGGGCTGGCTCAGGGCCGGTACATTAGCTTGTGGCTAGCGTGTTAGCTCAGGGCCGGTACATTAGCTTTTAGCTAGCGTGTTAGCTCAGCACCGGTACGTTAGCTTTAGCTAGCGTGTTAGCTCAGGGCCGGTACGTTAGCTTTTGACTAGCGTGTTAGCTCGGGGCCGGTACGTTAGCTTTTTGCTAGCGTGTTAGCTCAGGGCCGATACGTTAGCTTTTTGCTAGCGTGTTAGCTCAGGGCCGGTACGTTAGCTTCTAGCTAGCGTGTTAGCTCAGGGCCGGTACGTTAGCTTTTAGCTAGCGCGTTAGCTCAGGGCCGGTGCATTAGCTTTTAGCTAGCGTGTTAGCTCAGGGCCGGTACATTAGCTTTTAGCTAGCGTGTTAGATCAGGGCCGGTATATTAGCTTGTGGCTAGCACGCTTCTGGAAAGTGTGTTAGCTCCCTGATAGCAAGAGGATGGTGGACCTCTGTCAGCCCACCGATGACAAAGCTGGCGATCTGCTCAGCGTTTTCCAGGCGGTGGTGGAGTCAGTCACATTTTCCTTTTACAGTCCAGTTTACTGATTTTTCCTTCCTTCTTTTCTTTAGTTATACTTTGTAAATTAGTTTAGTAAATAATTCTAATCTATCACAGCACAGCGTCACAGAATCATTTATCAGGCCTAGTCATTATTTTTTTCTCTGAGTTGTTTGTAATATTTGCCTAAGTTTATTTTCCAAAATAAAAGTCTCTGTGCATTTAAAATCTGTTTGATGGGATTCAAAACTAGTTAGAGCTTGTTTGCAAGACAGTAATCTGGATGGTCCAAGGCTGGACTAAGAGTAGCAAACAGTCAGTGGGGTGCCGACCTTATCAAGCCAGCGGGCTGATATATGCTCACTATCTGCTCATGGCCAACACATTAGCTTGTTTGCCAAGTTTAACATGCCATAAAAACAAAGACTATAAAATGTGCCACAACTATACTGGCTATATTTTGTTAATTTCTTTTAAGTGGAACTTTGTTTACTTTCTATTTTTAAGTTGACCTGCTATGGAATTAAAATAACTTCATATTTTTGTGACATAACTTGGAATAATGTCTTATCCATGTAATATTCACTTGTTTACTTGAAATTTAATGGCATTATTTTGACATAGTATCTCAACAAATCAAGAAAGTAAGTTATTATTTTGATGCACTTCCAGAAACAGAAGGAGGAAAAATCTGTCTGGCGAGAAGAGGCTGCTAAAATCCACAGCAGTAACAAAGTCAAACATACAGTCCAGAAATGTGCGTTTAGACTTTTATTTTGTCTTATAAAATACATAAAAGTAGCAGCATCTCATTTAAAATCAGAAAAAAAAAATAATTTTGGTAAAAGTCACACTCAGGAGCCAACCAGAAGAAGAAGAAGAAAAAAAGTTAAAATATATCTCGTAGCTTCTGAAGCTGAAATCCAGAACAGCCGTGAGTTCTGGCAGGATTTCCTCTGTAGTCTGAACCTCACACTCGTTCACACTCTCTCTCTCTTTCTCTCTCTCTCTCACACACACACACTAATTTATTTCGGGTTTTTCTGTCCATCGTCCACCCCACCACCTTTAGCAGCAATCAGGGCAAACAGACGCTCTGAAGTTCTGGCAGGTGGGTCTGCGTTTGTCCCTCCAGGGAAAAATAACCATTAAACAAAACAAAAAAAAAGCCATCAAAACCCTCAAAGGGTGTTTCAAGTCTGGACATTAGAAATAAAAATAGAGTTTGCAGGTTGCTGGCTGTGCATGCTGGGAGAAGCTGATGCTCGTGTTGACCCTATAATAGCTTTGCTCTGCTCTGCTGATGCTCCGTCGCTCCACCGTGCCGCGCTCACATTCCACGATCTGGGCCGCGTCCCAATCCCACAGCGGAGGACCGCGCAGTGAGGAGCGGTCAGCAGGACGATCCCTCGGGCTTCTCGCTGCTGGGTGGAGGCGTCAGGACTCCGGAGGGAACGGGAGATCTCTGGCTGCGTTCCAAATCCACCAGCTCATACGCATACACCCTCCCCTGAGGAAGCAACACAGGAAGACTCAGAATAGAGAACAGCAGAGGAAAAGTAAACAGAAGTGCATGAAACGTAACAGAAAAGGGGGCCGTGTTTAAGTCCTGCAGCCTCCGCAGACTCAACAAAACAAAACCTTCGGCTTTGAATAGAGGCGGCAATTTGATGATATTTTATTGTAATGTGATTCATCACAATGTGTGTTTTGTGCGCATCGTGAAAACAGGAGTGCAGATCTGTGACCTGAAAGTAAATTGACTTGAATTAAGAACCTTTAGATTCTGTAAAACTAAACGGGCGACTCAAACAGGCGATTCGATTCAGTGATTCCAGCAGAGCCTCTTCTGCTGCTTTGCGTATAAAGGACGCTGTTCACAGCCTGAAAACTGTGTATTCGTCCAAATAAAGGACGTCTGCTGCTTCTTTTACAAACCGGTTTCTCACCAATGAATTATGAATTATAAACGATGCATCGGGAAAACTGATGAATAGTTACACTGGAGTGTATGATTACTTCAAAAACACTAAACTAAATTTTAATTAAAAAGAGCATAATTACTCCTGGATTAATTCATTACGTGCACCTTGATGATATCATCGCCAAACCTCAAACTAAGTGATATATTATAAACGTGAAGCCAATATGGGAGAATTTCACAGAGCAGGTCTTCAATCAGCTGGATACATTATTTGTCTAAAAGTCTGTAAACTCCAGCGTTTCTTCTGAAATGAAGGTGTTAATAGTGAGTTTGTGCTGCAGAAACAGCCTCTACTCTTCTGGGAAGGCTCTAAATGTTGAACATTGCTGTGAGGATTTGATTGAGCACTGGTGTGGTCAGGTTCTGATGTTGGATGGTCAGTTCTGGATCACTCCAATTCATCCCAAAGGTACTGGATGGAGCTCCATCACTCCAGAAAACACAGTTCCACTGCTCCACTGCTCCACAGCCCAGTGCTGGGGGGCTTTATACCCCTCCAGCCCACACTCTGCATTGAGTCAGTAGTTTTTAAATGGACATGAGACAATCTTGATCATTTTTAAATAGTTGTGGCAATGCAAAGCAAACACCACTTACTTTTTAACAGCTTTTATGTTTATGGAAGACTATTTTGGCATAATGTGGCCTTGATTGGCTTCACAGTGGCAGTTCTGGCTATGAAAGGAGAATTTTCCAGCTCTTCACTGTGTGAGTAACTTAAGAAGTATTTTAGTACATCCTCAGCTACACGTGGCTCAAAGCCAATGGCAGCAAGTAATCCGTCTCAGTTTTAGAAGGACTGTAATTTGCTGCCGTCAGAACAAAACCTTTTATCTCCATTTCAGTCATTTTTCAGTTTGACATAATTTGAAAATACCTGTTTCTCTTTACATTGTGTGTAAATTTCATGATGAAAGGACCAAAAGAAATGGCCAGAAATTACTTGGAACATAATCTGGTTACATTGACTTACATTGAAAGTAAAGTCTGTTTTTTCTTTATCCTGTAAAGTTACCATTTTGGAGATACGAGGTTTTGATCCAATAGCAGTGTAGAGTTGGTTTTAAATTTTGCTTTGATACTTAAAATATCCTTATTAACCCTATTAGGATGTTGGTTCACGTTTTATGTGTCACAAGATAATAATAATAATAATAATAATAAAGTTTGCACAAGATCTGCTTGTCCTTTTAAATAAAGTATGCAAATTATAACTATAATAATGGCCATTTTTGATAACCTTGCTGTAAGAGGTCTACAGGAGGACGTTTCTACTGGACAATCCTCACTTTTGGCTGAAGTTATTAGCTTTTTGAGAAATCCTGCTGTGTGAGAGTCTCTGAACTCACCAGCACGGCTTCTGAACACCTTAAACAGCCTTCAGGTTCAGACAAGCCTGAGCTTACAGCGGCAGTGCTCAGCCACAAGAAGCTTTAAGCCAGGGTTCTCAAACTGGTCCTCAGGGCTCCACAGACGGTCCATGTTCTTACTCTATCTCTACAGCTCCTTTCACACAAACTATTACGCAGGTTTTAATGGTGGTTTAACAGGAAGGGGTTCTGTGCGAACGTGATCCGGTGTCAAAAGACCCAGAACAACACCTGGGAGACAAGCAGGTGTCTGAACAGAAGCTGCTTCATTCAATAGGACCAGTTATGCTCCCTTTGTGCTGTTGAGAAGTGTTTAAGTACCGTCGATGTGCTCAGAAAAACATAGTGGGACATACTGTGACCAAATTCATCATAATGATGATAATTTTCATTATTTATAAGTATTTTTGTGAAGAAGATTAACAGCAGCAGGCTGTTTACATTTCAGAAGTATTTTAGTACATCCTCAGCTACACGTGACTCAAAGCTAATGGCAGCAAGTAATTCGTCTCGGTTTTAGAAGGACTGTAATTCGCTGCCGTCAGAACAAAACGTTTTTCAGTTTGACATAATTTGAAAATACCTGTTGGTCTTTACATAGTGTGTAAAAGAAACGGCCCAAAATTACTTGGGAAAAAATCTGGTTACATTAACTTACATTGAAAATAAAGTAGTTTTTTTTCCTTTCTCCTGTAAAGTTACCATTTTGGAGATTTTCGTTATTTATACGTATTTTTGTGATTAATATTAAGGAACGAAGAAGCAGCTTACTCAGTTTACACTGAGAATGTTCACCAGGACTTTAGCGGGTGCGAATGAACGCGTCCATCCCAGTAAAATGCTGCTGCTGCATGAGTGAAAGATGAAGCCTGAACATCATCGGTAAAAGTAAACTGACGATGTCCCAGGTTTTGTGTCTGAAAAGGGCTTTAAAATGTTGTGAGTTGGGACAGAACAAAAACGTGGAGCATCCGAAAATCAGTTTGAGATGCTTTAAAGTAAACCAGCGAGAACTCACCAGCCACTCCAGGTACGGCGCGTGCGTTTGGATGTTGTGCGTGTCGTCCTGCGGGATGCCTTTAAACGCCTTCAGAGACGAGCTGCCCGCTTCCCGAATCGACATGGCGAACGGCACCATCCACCTCACACAGTGCTCCACATCACTCCACTTGAACCCTGAGACACAAACAAAAACAGTCAGCATGGACGCCACTCAAAGAGCAGAGATGATAAAAATCCATCACTAAAATGTAGCCTATAATTTTCCTGTACATATCTTCCAATCCTGACACAAACATGGAAAAACATAGAAACTGGGACTAAATCTACCTGGATTAGTATTACAGATAAACATTTATTCCCGTAGAGCTATAAATGCAGTAAAACCCAGCATTGCCTATACATTCTGCTCTTCTTGAGTTCAATAAACACCATCAAATATCAAAATCTAAACATCTGCCTGATAGTGATCATTAAGATTCTGATACCATCATGTAACCCTAATTAAAAGAATTAAGGGATCAGAAAACAAATCACCCGAATGTGACTTTTTTTGTTTTTTGGCGTGTCTAATTGACTGTTATTCCCAAAGTGTATTTTGGAATGGTAGTCAATTATAATCTATTATAAATTCAATAAAATGTGCATTCGTTTTAGACCAAAATTGATAAATAAATAAATAATTCTTCTTTATTGTGCTTGTCTATATCCAACAGGTGTATTTAGTCCATTTTATTAAATAAATATTTTTGTATTGCACGAAAAATAATTGAATAATTGAATCAAATTTGAGATGCATCAAATTGAGCTGTAGAGTTGTAAAGAGCTGTAAAGAGCTGTCGTCTAATTAGTCTGAGATTCAGACTCATGAAAATGCTCATGTAAGCATAAAATCAGACCTACCTGAGACTTTCATCACAAGCTCCAGTGAAGAGAAGTGGAATAATGCGGATGCTGCCAGCAAACTGTATGAAAACTCCAGACTTTTCACATCCAGAATGCACAAATCCAGGAGCTACATGACAAGAGAGGGAAAAAATGTGGTTAATTACTACTAAAAAAAACATAACATTTTTGTACCTAAATAATTTCTTTGGATTATATAATTACATCGAAAAGCAAAAGGTAGGAAAAAGGTGTTCACATTTGATTTATTTGAGGTTTGTAAATAATGCCTTTACAGAGCCGCTGTGAGTAATGTTTATTAATTTATCACTACAAAGATCATTATTATGATGAAAAACGCTACATTGTGCAGCTCTACTGCATTGCATATATTTATATTTGTTTACTACCCCCAATTTATGCACCATCAAATGAAGAATAAATGCAACTGTATTTGGGCAATAAAGTGATAATCATCTAAAACAGCCTTTTAGTCAATAGACCAACAAAACAAAGCACTAAGATGCTCAACTGAACTCCTCAGAGTTTCTCTTTGAACAGCAGCAGCTACAGCGTTCGTTCTTCACATGTTCTCTACATGGCGTCAGAGCGTCAGTGTGAATGGGGGGGGGGGGGGGGTTACACGGTAACTGTACCTCAGCGATCTGCACGAACGTAGCCTGGGGGTACTGCGGCATGAGAACCTCACCAGAGTCCTTCAGATACGCCATCTGCATGTAGATGTTGATCCAGGCCACTGGAGTTAAAGGACTCAGACTCCACTTCAGTTCCTAAAGGAAAGAAACGCAGGCAAAGGTTTATTTTTATTGTTGTTATTTTATATATATATATATATATATATATATATATATATAAAAACAAACAAACAAACAAACAAACTCTATCCTTCACAAAATTAACAATATAAACAAAAGAGCCCAAAATATAAACAAAATTCCCCTATAAGAATATTTTACACATATTGCACATGGAGTATTGATTATATTGCATAAAGTTATGGTGATAAATTCAGTTTACTTTCTGTAACTGTGTGAGGTTTAACTATTATTAAATGTGTGAAATCTATTATTATTAAAAAAAAAGAAACAGATAAATTGTATATTATTTTTATTATTAAATCATAGTAGTTTCCCCTCTTTCCCCAAATGTATTCAATCAGCTGGGACTTCTTCAGCGTCTGAAGTTTACTTGTTTAGTTTTAGCACTGGAGCTATGAGGCTAAAGTAGCTAACATCTAATGGAAGCTTATATCCCACTGATTAGCATGGTGCTAACTGCCTGCTTAAAACCATCACAAACCATTTTAGTGAATTTGGCTTCCACTTTCATATTCACCTTAAATGGTGCACAGTGTGGGGTCTCAGTCTCAAGGTGGAACAGGAAACTTTCAGGCCCAATCCCATTTCACCCCTCACCCCTACCACTGAGCCCTTAGCCCTCTGTTTTGTGTGTTCATGTCTAGGGGTAGGGTGTCCCAATTCTTGAGATAGAGGGGTGGGGTGAAGTGTTGGGGCTACATGATCCTCCAAACAGAGGTTTTTCAGAGACTCCAAACAGAGTTATGAGAAAAAAATGGCAAGATGGAGAACAAGAGACCAAAGAAACCCACAAATGTGAGAATTTTCTCTGTTAAAAATTATGATAACCATCTTATTCTCTTAGTTTAATGTTGTTTCAGTGTATTATGCATGTTTTCTTCATAACAAGCATTAAAAAATAAATAAATAAATAAAAAGAAAATGCTAATACCATGCTAATGTCTCGGTAGCTAGCTAACTTTCCCTGTTCCACCTTAAATAGTCCAGCAGTTCAGACGCCTGAAGCGCCAGAATGTAACTGCTGCTCCATTTAAGGTGGAACGGGAAAATTCGAACAAGAAGCTGGTGAATATCCGACTTCATCTTCATATCACTGAAGAATTAGGGGTGGGTGATAATAAATAATTGCCCCCCTCTTTGAAGATCATATGATCCCTAAATGTAACTAAAGCCCAGCAGTGAGGAGCTGAACTTTACCCTCCTCTGCTGTCACTGTAGACTGGCAGGGTCGCCTACAGAGCAGCGCTGGTAGCTGTTAATGAAGTGATGCTCTTTTATTTGAGGGTCCCATTTCAGAGGGAAGATTTCAACCACTACCCTGTAACTCAGTTCCAAGGGGTTAGGGTGACACTCAAAAACAAGGGGTAGGGATAAAAAGAAGAAATGGGATAGGGCCTTAGTCAAAATATCTCTTCAGTGTCAAAGAAAAGCAAGTTTAAAGTGGTTACCTTCATGATGATGACCTCCATGCTAAGAATCTCCTCCCCCGTGCACGCTCCGTCAGTAACGTACGCAAACTGGTGCACCTTCGGGGGGTAAATTTCCTGTAGAGGGGGGAAGGGAACATTTCTGTTTAGTGTTGGGTGTGATGTGAACGTTTATCCCCATCATATTAAAATACCTAGTAATACGTACATTTTATACTGTCAAAAAAGTTGTTCTAGCAGCTTAAAGTAAAGTGACTACGGCTCAAATCACATCACAGCAGCAAAGAGCTTCCCGGTGTAGAAGGGTCATTCAACAGAAACGTCCATCTTTGTGTCCCTAGTGTTTACAGATATATTACACTTAAACATTTTAGGGTAACAATTTTTTACATTTTCAAATAAAACAATAAGTTATTTTAACAATTACACCTTCTTGAGCCTCAATTTAGCAATATTGGTTTTTAAATCAATCATATAGAATTCCAAGCACCACAGAAGAGCTCGTCCCCACAGTCATGTGTGAAGGCTGAGGCCACATTTTGAAGAAAGAACATGTTTTTCTGCAATTTTAACTGTAATAATCTATACACGACTACGAAATATATGATTTAAATGACAAAGAAAACAAATGCTAAATATCATAAAATATTTAATGAAAGTTCCCCAGGAGTCGTGTCACTGGTGTTACTGCATAACAAAAATCTCTTATTTTGGAATAAAAGTCACACTGATGACATCACTCGACTTCCTTTTACCTGTTTTCTGAGGATCTATGAAGAAAAGCTCATGGTGAGTCCACTGTGTCTTTCAGTTATCAGAGATTTTCTCATTTAGCTCATGATTTCATATGAAGCTTTTAGCTGAAGTCGACCGACTTTATTCTGAGGTAATTGTGAAAAAATAGAACACAAATGGATTAAATTCCATATTTTAGTGGATATTCCATGACTGACAACATGTGGTTTGATGCTCTGTAGCAGTTATTTTGTAAAATGCATTGTTCGTTAAAAATGTCTCTGGTGTTCCTTTATTATGTGGAACACCAATGAGGATCAGTAACACCAGTGACTCCTATGGAGAGATAGAAAAGTGGATGTTTCTATAGAATGACCCACACACGCAAACAATAACACAAAAATACCTGACTAATCAGATCTGATCTATGCAAATTCAAATGACTCGATTGGACCTTCCAGCCGTTTAAGCTGGATGAACTCAGGGAGACGTACCTCCATCTTGGCGGCGATGAACAGAGCGGAAATGCCGATGAGCTGCAGCGTACTTTTACAGACGTCCTCTTGCGTGGCCATGAAACGATCAAAGTAATCCTGGCCCAAATAAAACGTCTCCCTGTGTAGCTTATACACCTCGCACACCTGAGAAAGAGGAGAAATAACACCTTCAGCTCTCCACCCTGCGACGGCCTGATAAGAGAAAACTGATCAGTGATTAAGATGTTATTTCTAGCCAGCTGTAATCCAATTCCTCATCAATCCGCATCTCAATAGGAACGGCCTGCAGACACGCCTGCAGTTGAACCCCTCGTGTACATTCTCCTTCTAATGAGATTAAATTAGCACGTGTTAACGGCCCGAATCGTTTGAGGACGATGTTTACTGACCTCCATGAGCCAGTCCAGCAGAATGGCCCTCATTTTGGGCTGAAGGTTCGGGTGTCTCTCCATGACGTGCGTGTCGTGAGGATAGAGCTTGTCTTTTTTGAGTAAGTTGCTCCAAACGTCATCTTTACTGGCCCAGCTGTGAGAAATCAGCGGAAAAAGAAGGAACATCAGCTTTTGATGTGCAGTTAATATAATTATGTACTAAATCTGCTGATGGAGCTTTTAAGATCTCTTTTCAGGGGTGTAACGATTCAGAACAGAAATCGGTACGATGTGATACAGCGGTGTCTCCATTTGATACATTTTTCGATGTAGCTTAAAAAAGAATGGCTGAAAATGTGCCTTCTGTTAATGTGCTAACGTTGCCAGTAAATTACAGCAATCTGCATAATAAAAGCATTTGACAAATTTTATTCATGCTTTATAGTGTCACAATCCAACAAGCAACAAACTAACACACTACAGCAGTTTAGCCCCACCCATTCACACTGAAGTTACAAGGAGTGGGACAATACAGGGCAGCCAACCAGAGCAGACGTTGTTTACATATATCAGTCCCTAAAGACACAGTAACAAACAGCCTGTTTGTCTATTAGATGTTTCAATGTAAAAACCTCAAAACACACAAAATAAACTGAAATGTATTTATTTTGAAGTTGTGCTACAGTTAAAAACACCACAATTACACATTTACTCAAAATATCTGCATGCATATTTAAATACACCAATCCGTATGCATGTATATTAGCATATATTTAGACATTCAAATATACAGTTAAATTTATATAGAGCATATATTGCATCAGTGATTTCTATATACTGAAATATATGTACATTATTTTGGTTAGGTACTTAGCATTGCACACACCAGAACAACATGTTTACACTTATAATCTGAACAGTGCTGGGGATAATTTACTTAATTTCATTGTTTTATAAAGAATAGTCAATTTAACCTTTTAAACTCCTTGGGACCACCGGTGGTTCCAAAACGCACTTCGTCATATTCTTCATAACTTTCATATTTCATAAGCTACATTCAAAAGGTGGGGGTCGTATGAGGCTGTAACTGTCTTCTTTCCAGTCAAATAGATGGGTGATGTAGTTTTAAACCCTAATAATAAAAGAAGCTGAACTAAAAGAAGTCGACCCATTTTTCCACAAATCTGGGCTATAAACTATAAACAGATGGCGTCTCTTCAGTGATCTGCTCTGTAAACATTATTTTTATAAAATAATACAAAGAGCGTCTAAGATTTTTGGCTTTCAGCAGTAAATTGTAAGCATATAGCAATGTGTGATCATAAAACACATGTTCTGTTAATCTGAGGGGAGCTTTTACAAAAATAATAATAATAATAATAATAATAATAATAATAATAATAATAAATTAAATTAAAATTTATATTGAATAATTTGCCTTACGATTTGGTCATGTAAATTCAGATGGAAAAACCAAAATGTACTCTGGTCAATAAGACATTAAATTATACATATGTAATTTTTTTTAAATTCTTTTATAATAATGTAAAAAAGCAAACCACACACACACACACACACACACACACACACACCACTACCTGGGTGACTGACACTGTGATACTACATTTCTGTCCCGTCCCATTCCTAATCAGAACAAAGGTCTTTGTGTGATTCACGTCAAGCAGAACCAGATTTAATTCACAGTTTTTGCTGAATGTCTGTGTGGATGTTTTACGGCAGGTCAGCCTGTCAGGCAGGAACAAGAACCACATCAGCACGTTTACAGGTACAAAATGAGGCCTAAGACTTCTGCACAGTGCTGTCTCTAACGTTAATGTATAATATGGACGAAACAGCACTGCAATCACACTGATGCAAATTGTGACTGCAACACACCCTCTGATATTAAAAACACGTTACTGAATTAACAAAGATTGGATTACAAGAACATGTTGGTTCAACAAAACTGCTCTGGAGCTGTAAAAGACATGTGGTATGCAAATGAGCTTGAGCCCTCAGGTCAATCACAGTTTGAGCTGTGGGCATCCTGACCAGGGCTCATTTGCATACCACATGCCTTTTATAATGGCCAACCTCACAATAACAATTAAAGGGCCAATATAATGTAAAGCTAATGTAATAATGTAAAGTTAGTTCTGGTCACGCGAGCTGATTGGTTGAGAAGCGTTCTAACTGTGCTGTTATTTCACCATAACATCACGTTTTTTTCCACAAACACTATCACTCTGCTGAGACGCCGTTGCTAAGCAACGACTTTGACAGCTGTAGGAGACGCTCAAGACATTTGAGCGTTTTTACTTCTTACTTTGCCACAAACAGAAAATGGACACTTTTAAGACCACATTTAACCGACAGCCGATTTGGTCAGACTCTGAAGATGAGACGACACTAAATTCCCAAACTGTCATCACCACTGAGCAGCTTTTCAGTCGGCAGCTGAGACAGAAGAACAGCTGAACAACCTGGAATCAGCCAGAAATGAACCCAACACCATTCGCCAAACTAAATGGGCTGTAAGATGCTTTACAGACTGGCTGGAACAAAACAACATTAATACTGATCTGACAAAACTGAGCTGAACTTGATATTGCGGCAGTTTTAACGGCTCAGTCTGATTTGGTCAGACTCTGAAGATCAGACTACACGTTTGGCGAATGGTGTTGGGTTCATTTCTGGCTGATTCCAGGTTGTTTAGCTGTTCTTCTGTCTCAGCTGGCGACTGAAAAGCTGCTCAGTGGTGATGACAGTTTGGGAATTTAGTGTAAGGAGCTGGAGAACGAACTGCCGGCTGTGCAGCGAGTGGGCGGAGCTCGTTACTCTGATGTAGCAACAAGCTGCTCGTTAAGGAACTATAATTTGGTGAAGGAACTGCGAACATTAAAACATATTAAACGCCGCGTTCACGGCCCAGTTTATTAATTTATTACTTTATTTATTTAAACTGTTGTATAAAAGCAACAGAACACTCGAGGAGTGTGTTATCGCCAGTAACATCACGGCTGTGATGATCTACGGCGACCAAATCACAGCCGTGATGTTATTTCACGCTGACACACTCCCTCTGTGTTCTATTGCTTAAATATATATTCACGTATTCTGACTACAGTAATTTAGCCCCACCCCCTCAAGCTAAAGTTATAAGGTGTGTTACAGCACAGACGGCTTTTTGAAGAAAGCCAATCATAACCGAGCTCATTTACATATCTTAGTCTTAAAGTCACAGAAACAGAAACAGCCTGGGGACAAAGCAATGCTGTAAAACGCTTATATAAAAATAAATGGCTCTTTCTGACCGCACAAATGTCGTAAGCGGACCTCAACGGACCGAATGAATGTGGTTATGGGGCCTGTAAACAATATATTAAACAGCTTTGAAACGTAACGTCTCAAACACAATAAGAGGCTCACCACAGGGCGGGCAGGGGGGACGGCCGTGTGGGGGTGACGAAAATATTCCTGGAGGTGTACTGAGTGAATCCCACGCTGCTGATGGCAACCGGTTCCTCAACCTCATCTGGCGTTGGAATCCGCCTACACGGGCTTGTGCAACTTATGCTGGGATTCCAGCTTGTCTGAGCAGGACCAGAGGAGAAAGAGAGGAGGAGAAAAAAAAGGAGAAATAAAGAGGGAGTTCCCTAACGGATAAAAACAACACATGACCATCCTCACTGGCACAAGGACAACTTCAATGCCATTAAGACCTCTTTTCTATTCCAAACAGGCCTCGACACAACCATTTCACAGTCATTCAGTCGTCTGTGGAAGACTAAAGAAAGACACATTCAAATCAGGACAGACATGAAATAGCCCCCTTGACCCTGTTCTTCAGTGGTCAGGACCCCCATGGACCCTCACAGAGCAGGTACTATTTGGGTGGTGGATCATTCTCAGCACTGCAGTAACACTGACGTGGTGGTGGTGTGTTAGTGTGTTAGTGTGTGTTGTGCTGGTCTGAGTGGATCAGACACAGCAGTGCTGCTGGAGTTTTTAAACACCTCAGTGTCGCTGCTGGACTGAGAATAGTCCACCAACCAAAAATATCCAGCCAACAGCGTCCTGTGGGCAGCGTCCTGTGACCACTGATGAAGGACTAGAGGATGACCAACACAAACTGTGCAGCAGCAGATGAGCTATCGTCTCTGACTTTACATCAACAAGGTGGACAGACAAGGTAGGAGTGTCTAATAGAGTGCACAGTGAGTGGACACAGTGTTTAAAAACTCCAGCAGCACTGCTGTGTCTGATCCACTCAGACCAGCACAACACACACTAACACACCACCACCACATCAGTGTTACTGCAGTGCTGAGAACCACCCAAATAGTACCTGCTCTGTGAGGGTCCATGGGGGTCCTCAAGTGCATGTAAATGCAATGAATGGATTACTGACAGAATCAGATTTTCTGCACTTATCAGATTATTAGGTGGATGTAAACGCACTTATTATCAGGTTTTAAGTGGGGGAAAATTAAACCTAATGAAACAGAGCTTGAGACCTGCTTGTAGACGAGTTAGACCAATCGGAAGCAACCAGACACCCCCGTGTGCTGTGACATCACAACCCCAAGAAGCCAGAAAAAGTGAGAAAGTGGACATGCTGGACTTTTCGGCATTAAAAATAAAGAAATAAAATTAATAAATAAAATAAATAAATAAAGTAGACAATCACAATCGCAAAACTGGCCTTTGGTTTGGTTGCTGTCCTTTTCTGTTTTGTGCTCCCAGCTCCCAGTACTGAGAACCTGACAGTGAGTCATTTACTGGGAGCTAAAAGAACGGCTTAAAATGTACATCAACAAAATATTTACATTTTCTGTCTGTAAATGTTTCCTGTCTGATTATCGTTTACTGTGTAAGATTCTCTTCAGCCTTAAATTTAGAGAAACCGAAAAAAAAACAACCAAATTAAAAACCACACCCAGTGTATACTCTTAAAGTGTGCACTGTTAAAAATAAGGGAACGCCTAAAGAACCTTCCACTGGACGTTTCTCTGAAGATCAAAGCTTGTACATGAGATGTAAGTACACAAAAGGTTTTACTCCAGCTTAAAGGCCAAGAACCACGCAGGAACCTTTATTTATACGAGTGCAGTGCAGCAGCACTCAGGAAGCGTCGGTTCATTAACTTCATTAATGTTGACATTATGTTTAAATCAGCATTAGAGAAATTAATCATTGATTAGTTTCAAAAATATTAGGACACTGCACAGCACCAACAAAGCTGTTTAAGTAGGATCAGCTTTACTGATTGAGTGTGGATTGTGGTCAGCAGCTACTCACTTAAAAAACCTGAAGTATTTACCTTAAGGAATCAATTTAAAGCTGTAATGAAACTTTTGCAACTGTCAGAAACATAAACTCTCTGGATTCCCACCTGCCTTTTCACTTAAAGGGCCCAAATCAAGAAAAACTGAATTTACAAGACAAACAGTTCACTTCCCAGTCCATACGCATACATTTACGCTGTAAAACCAGCCGTTTGGAACTCATTGTGTTTGTAATGACTTGAAAATCATTTACTTGCGATTACTTACGGCTTTAGCGTTAGCAGGGTAAAACTAACTTTCGCTCCATATAGCTACTGCAGAAGCGTAGACATCTACAATGCTCAAACACTGAGCTACAACAGACATACGTTTTCGTGCACTGTCATGACAAACAGTGAGAACAGAAAGTGGACGGAAGCCCCTGATTTAACTGGCACCAGCTAAACGTGGAGCAGGTTCTGTGACACGTTTACAGCAAGCCAGCGATTTCTCTAATATTATAAACGCAAACCAAAACTTTTATTGTTAAGTCTATTTTAAAGACCTCGTTTAAGCTCCCTTTTAGCTTATGGTAGGCTAGCAGGCTACAGCGCTAATTAGCTAGCCTACCATTAGCAGTTCGAGGAGCAGCAGCTTCATATGAGCAGCAAACTTTAAAGCTAGCTGGTAAAGTTCCAGTGGTTGACAGCTGGACTCACCCACAATGTATTCGAGTTCACCGCAAAAAGCGAACGTTATTCGGCCACTTCTTTGGTTCGTGTCCTCGGATTCTTTAAACTGTTCTCTGACGCTGCAGCCTCGGTCTGATGAGTCTCTTCTAATGTTTTGGTACAGAAACATCAGACTAAATGTTTATGAGTCTCAGCAGCGCGAAATCATGACGAATGTTGAGTTGGACTGACGTAAAAGTCGCATGAATTCCAATCTGCCTGTTCAGAGGCAGTCGCACTGCCGCAGATCGGATACGTATCGGATTTCAGTACCACATATGAAAGCGTCTCAAATCGGAATTGAAAATGTCAGATTCAGTGTGTTTATCTGTTCACACTGACACACATCTGTGTCACATTTGAGGAAAAAGATCGGATTTGGGCCACTTTTACCTGCTGGGTAAACGTAGCCTTTTGATTTCCATTTTCTGATCCCTGTAAGGTTTCTGCCATAATGTGCCAGCTAACGTCAGCTGTTTGTACCAAGCTGATCATGTAAGAATCACTTCATTGACGGTTTATTGCCTCATTAGCTTTTTAAAGAGGAGTACAAAATTAGCTGGGGATGCAGAAAAGCTGCTTTATGTTATCCGGGTGATCCAGTTTGGGATAACAGCTACTGTTAGCCGTAGCTTCTAGCCAGCGTAGCTAGCTTAATATAAACAGAGTCCATCAAATTCCTGCTACATATAAAAGTTCTTGTGTCTTTTGAAAACAGAAATGTTGCAGAAATCGCTGGCGTGTTGTAGAAGGACACACAGACTGCTTGATGTGAGCAGCTGCAGCAGTAAAAACAAGGCTCACACACATTCAGCATCTTAGCTCCGCCCACTCACACTGAAGTTATAAGGAGTGTTTCAGCCCAGACTGCTTTCAGTATGTTAAATGTCCACAAACATTATAAGTGGACTTCAAGGGGATAGGAACTTTAAGTAAAGGGGAAAGGTTAAAAAGGGGAATTCCACCAATCTTTCAAAATTCCTGCAGAATTAAATGGTTAAGATGTAGACAGAGTTGTGAACTTGAACACTACTGGACTGGCGCGAGTTTAGGCTTGGTGAAGAACCCCCCAGAACACACCTGTACACTTCAAACACTGTAATGTGACCTTAAAGGGCCATTCCACCAATTTTTCTAAATTCCTGCATAATGAAATGGTTAAGATGTAAACAGAGTGGTTTGGTGTGAAACGCTCTGTTCTAGAGAAACTTACCCAGTCAGAACTGTTCACAGTGGTGGTGATAGGAACCAGACGTCCACCTCTAAAAGCTCCCACACAGAAAGTTACGACATGAAATGGTTATGAATTCACTGCCTGATGACTGAGACACTGTTTTATGATAGTTCTGAGAACCTAAACTCCATTCATGGTGGAGGGATACATGCAGGGCGCTGGGAGACAAAATAGTCCCCAAAGAAAACTTATTATTTCAGATTTTCCACTATTTTCCATCATCAACATTCCATATAAACTCAGAAGACTCGTGTAGGTTCACTGGTGGTTCTGGATAGTGAATAAAATGGCTATATTTGTGTTGTAGTCATGGCGACCCCTGGTTCCTATCACCACCACTGTAAAGGCATCTGAACCATTTCAAGGATATGTTTATCACTGCAGGCCTACAACATCAGCAAAGCCTCACTCCCTTACCGGGGATGGACACTGCTTCTTTCTGGTCATCTCTGCAACTTCCTCGTCTGGATCTTGTAAATGCTGCAGGCATTCAAAACAAACAAGAGTTAATATTAAGCTGGAGCTGATTATTTTGCTTTAGTCTGCTGAACAGCACACAGTGCTAAACTCACAATAGCAACATCTGCCTTTCTCTTCCTGGAGCGAGCTGTGGGGTTTTTAGGAGTTTCATCTGGAGTGCCTTTCACTTCTGTGTCTAGCCTGTGGAAAATGAAGTGAATTAGTGTTGCTATTTCAAACTAAATTACCTCATCAATGCTCATTGTAAATACAGGGAGATTCACTCGAAAGAGGCCCCGAATATTCTGTAATAACTCTCTCTAGGACGAAGCAATCTGAACAAAACATGCAATGTGCTCCTCAGTATATGGAGCTTCGAACAAGCCGGGATGCCCCTGCGTCAGCGCGACGAGGTAGACGCCGGACAGCCATCGCAACGTTTAACCTCTCTAATGCTTGCTGATGCGTTCAGGAACGTGGAGTGCCACATCGAAATGTGTCTGGCAGAAAACAGAGATGACTTCCAGCATCACATGTGATGCAATCGATTACACATACATCAAGGTATGTAGCCTATTTTTTGGGTTCAGACTGCTTCATCCTAACGAGAGCTACAGCAGAATATTCCGGGCCTCTTTCCAGTGAATCTCCCTGTATAATTTGTTACCGGGTGAAATCTCAAAGCTCAAAATTGAAGATACTGATCTTGTAACAACAAGACATTCAGAAAGTCGTTAATCAACCACTAAAAGGACCATATTTAAAAAAAAACCTCAATAAATCTGTGCACCAGAGAAAAAATGTTTTTATTTAATTTTTAATTAATGTTGTGCTAAAACCCCAACTGTTTATTCAAAATATGCAAAAACTTCAGCAGTAAAATACAGGCACTTGCAGTAGACCTTGAAATATTACATGAATACTTGAAATATTCAAAATTTAAATGCTCAGTTTTTTTAAACCTGCCTATTTGCTTGAACTAAACACCTGACGTCCTTTCACTGCTGCAAGTTCATTAAGACTTGGGCTCAGATTCTGAGCTGCTGAGCTGACATTAAGTGTTATGTTGGTTGAGCTGCAGCTGCGTTTGGTCGTATGACTGGTGTGGAACTGTATAGAACTGAGGTGTAACCGCTGTCCAATAGACTGTTGTTGGTGTAGGAGAGTCCAAGCACACATTATATTGCAGTGCATGCTGGGGACTGTAGTGCAGTGCACTGTGAAACAGGCTAAAATTAACAGAGAACTGAAATACATTTGTGGGCCGAATAGGATTGCGTCACGGGCCGGGCCTCGTGTTTAACACACGGGCAATAAGGTAAAAGAAACTCATCTCAAGAAGCTTCACAGAATCCACCCAGACAATGCACATCTTCTGCACTACCATATTAACGCAGTGCCACAGTGCACTTTCTGCAACTCTGAACTGGAAACAAATGTACATTTGTTTTTGTTTTCCTGTGTTTATTCAGCAGATTTTTGTAATGAGGCATTTTTTTTAAAATCTTTCCAAGTTATTCCGCATTATTAAGACAATGATGTCACTGCTTTTGCTTATTAACAACAGATCTTTATTTCATTGATGAGGTTTATAGACCTGCTGGGAAAACTCCCTTTGCACAAAGCCAAAATCTGTTCATCACAGATTTAACACTGCTGTGTGATTCCTAGTCTATCATTCTCTACACTAACATGGTTCTTTAAGGGTTCTTTAGTAAAGGGAATGGTTCTATTTACAATAATGAGGTCTATATAGAAGCTTTTCATCCTTAAATGGTCTGTTGCATGGTGAAATGGTTCTTCAGATTGTTGTATATGGTTGTATCTAGCACTAGTGCTTGATTGTATCTAGCACTAGTGCTTGATTGTATCTAGCACTGGTGCTAGATACAATCATATAAAGATTTAACAATACTGTGTGATTCCTAGTCTAACATTCTCCACACTAAGATGGTTCTTCAAGGGTTCTTTAGTAAAGGGAATGGTTCTGTTTACAATCATGAGGTCTATATAGAAGCTTTTCATGCTTAAATGGTCCCTTGCATGGTGACATGGTTCTTCAGATTGTTGTATAGGGTTGTATCTAGCACCAAAAAGTGTGCTAGATACAACCATATAAAGATTTAACAACACTGTGTGATTCCTAGTCTAACATTCTCTACACTAAGATGGTTCTTCAAGGGTTCTACAGTAAATAGAACCATTCCCTTTAGGTCTACACAGAAGCTTTTCATGCTTAAATGGTCCCTTGCATGGTGAGACTGTTGTATATGGTTGTATCTAGCACCAAAAAGGGTTCTTGTATTGTTACAAGCTTGACATCACAACAGAACCCTTTTTGGTGCTACAGAGAACCATATATGAAGCACATTCTCCACTAATCTGAAGACCCATTTCACCATGCAGAGAACCATTTAAGCATGACATTACTCTGTATGGAACTAACTGTTCTAAACCCATTAACTAAAGAACCCTTGAGGAACCATGTTTAAGAGTGAGGCCACAGAGACTTTTGCTTCTCCTTCCTGAAAAGACGGCCAGTGCTGTTCATGATTTTTTCCTCTTCCCATACTGATTTTTTGGTATTATACGATTTGAGATTGATTGATTGATTGATTGATTGTTTAATTAAATAAATAATTAGCATGTTGCTAATGCAAAGGACGAGGAAACACAATGTGGTGCTACTGCTAACCAGCAAACTCCCATCTGCTACTTCAGCCCCACTGCAACTCGTTTAAAAGCAAGCAAAAAAATCAACACTTACACTTTCTTACTGGGCATTATATCCGCGCGCGTGTCTCCCCTGAGTACAGAGAGCCTAAAAAACAAAATAAAAGTCTTTATTGAGTTTATTTAGGATTTTTTTTACCCCCACATGTCCTGAGCTTTCCTTTCTCTCCCAACCCCCATTCCTTATGCTAAAGGCTACTGAAGTGCAGCAGGAACGACACCAAATACAGACAGACATGCAAATTCTTTACTGAAAATTTAAAAAAATATATATGATTTACTTTGTTAGAAACAGAAAAGTTTATAAAGGTTGAGGTTCACACAGGAAGACAATGAAAAAAGAAGTAAAGAAAAAAAGAAAGAAGCTGAGGTCAGCTTCCTACTCGCCAACTTTCTTGTTCGAATTGTCCCGTTCCACCTTAAATGGTGCAGTAGTTGCATTCAGGCGACGGAGGCACAATGTAACTGCTGCACCATTTAAGGTGGAACGGGACAATTCGAACAAGAAAGCTGGCGAGTAGGAAACCAAGCTTAGCCTTGTAAAAAGAGAAACTGATGCACAAACAACCCTCCCCGCATCTGTCTCCCGTGTTTCTACACGAAAAGCGAACCAAAACAAGCCGAGTATGTTTATAAAGCCCCTCTAACTCGGCGTAGAGTGTGAACCCCCCTCCATTCTCACCTCACACAGACTCTCAGTGCAGCTCCAGCTCCCCTGCGACCCTCAGACGAGTGAATCCCGACCCGCAGCTGCCGCTTTCTTCCTCTCTTTTTCAGTCTCTGAGTCTCAGTCACGGCGCTTTTTCCTCCTCTCTCGCTCCCACTCTCTCCCCGCGCGCCAACTCCACTTTTATCTTTCCCTTTTGCGCCTGCGTGCGCCGGGGAGCCGATGCGCGCGCGCGCGCGCAGCAAAACACACAAAATTACAAAAATAAAGAAAAAAAAAACAAAGAAAAGCCCCCCGCTTCGCGCGAGAGCGCACCTGGGCGTATGTAATGAAGGTGCCGCGCTTAGGGCTGATAAATAATAAAGCGCGTTCGGGGCGGGTTGGGGTGGTTTTGCCGGCAAACTGGAGGGGGCGTGTGCGCGACGTCACCGTGAGCGCGGAAGAGGCAGGGCGGACCGGGGGCTTCCGGAAGCGCGTGAGAGAGTCGCACGTGGAGAACAGCGCCAACAGGTAAACAAATCAGATCAAAGAGACAGGGAGAGAGAGAGAGAGAGAGAGAGAGAGAGGCTTAGTCAGAGTGTAATTAAACAGACACGCGCAGATCACAGCGCTTTATTGGAATGACAGACAACGATTCAAGTGTTAGCATATATACGTACACGTGCATGTTTATATATATATATATTATGTGTATAAAGGTGAGCGGGTGTCTGACCTTTGTTCAGTCACGTGACTAAGGAGCAACATGAAGTTTGTGAATCTTTTTGGACGTTTAAAGTCAAACGTTATTGGAATGATTCATGTTGGAGCGCTACCAGGTACTGTGTGTGTGTGTGTGTGTGTGTGTGTGTGTGTGTGTGTGTGTGATTTGTATCATTCTTTAAACCAATATGATTTGTTCTGGTTTAAAGGTGCTCTTTAAATAAAGTTGTTGTTCTTGTTGTTGTTAGTATTATTTACATTTTGTAATATGTAGACAGTTTCAGATGTATTTCATTTAGCTCAGAAATGAAGTATTATTCTGATTAGTATTATGATAATAATTAGTAGTAGCAGTAGTAGTAAAATGCAATGCATTAAATATATATTCCAAATATTCCGTTTACATTTTAGAATATATTGACAGCATATTTGGTATATTCATGTGTTTATGATACATATAAATTATTATTACTATTATTATTAGAAGTAGTAGTAGTAGTAGTTGTTGTTGTTGTTGTTGTTATTGTCATAAAATGTAATGTAATAAATATACATTCCAAAATATTCCAAATATTCCGATTCTGTTAGAATATATTGACAGCATACTGTGATATAATCATGTGTTTATGGTATTATTAATTATTATCATTATTATTAGTAGTAGTAGTAGTATTGTTGTTATTGTTGTTGCTATTAACATATTTAAAAATCTGTTCCAAATATTATAGTTTTGTCTTAGAATTAACTGACAACATATTACAATATATTCCATTTATCTACAGGATTTGTTATTATTATTATTATTATTATTATTATTAATGCTGGTTTGTTTTGCAGGCAGTCCGCTGAATAAAGCTCCTCTTCCTGCGATTGTGGAGGCGGCCTGCAGAGAGGCAGAGGAATACACGCAGGCTGGAGTGGTACTGACCACACGTGCATCCACTGGACACTTTATCAATTCATTTGATCAGTTTTAACATTATCATGACTAAAACAGCAGCACACCTAAAGCCTGAATTCAGTCTGTACCTCAGCCCATGTTTACAGATAACAGTGAGTCACACAGAGTCAGAAACCACATCATCAAGTCTATTAGAGAGACTGAACACACACAGTCTGAGGTGTCGGTGCTAATTGGTGGGCTTTAAGCTTTGATTGCCTGTTAGCTACATTTGCCTCGTAGCTCCAGTGCTAAAACTAAAGAAGCAAACAGACACTGAACATGACTTGTCTGATCAAACACATTAACTCAGAATGGGAGTCATCAGTTATCACTGGTTAATCCAGATATTTCAGTCCGATCACAGTATCTTTTTCTTTTTCTCTATTTTCAATGTTGTAGATTAATTGTAAAACCTTATTCTCTGTTAATTGTGCTCTTGTGTTATTGTTTGCTATCTGAGGAAGATGGGTTCCCCTTTTGGGTCTTGGTTCCTCTCAGTGTTCCTCTTCTTGTTCTTAGGGGGTTTTCTTGCCCCTGTTGCCCTCGGCGACACTCGCTGGGGCTCAAACCTGGATCTTCTGTAAAGCTGCTTTTGCGACAGCGTCTGCTGTAAAAAGCACTACACTATTAAAAAGATAGTTCTTCAAGGGTTCTTTAGTAAAGACATTGGGCCTCTAATCTCTTCTTGAGAAAGGTCCTAAAAAAGATTCATGACGTGTTCTCAAAGCGCAGAACTGTTCTCCCCTTTGTGCTCTTGAGTGTGTGTAGATTCTGTTCTTACCTAAGAACAAATCCCAGATAAGAGAACACTGGTGAGTCAGAACCTTCGTCAAAACTGCGTAAGTGGGTTTAAGAAGAAAGTACGGTTGGAGAACGAGGCCCAATTTAGAACCATAAACACTCAAATATCCATTTGCATGCTTGAATGGTTCTTTGCATGGTGACAATAACAATAGCAGAACCCTTTTTGGTTCTTTATAGAGCCATGCAAAGAACCATTAAAGCGTGCAAATGGATCTTTGAGTTTTCATGGTTCTATACAGAACCATTGTCTTTATACAACTATTGTCTTTACTCTCAAAGAACCTTTGGCTTCTCTTTGAGTTGGTATCAGCACATAGACAGTAGATTATGCTAATATTAATATTACTAATAATCTTAATTAGTTAATTATTATTAATAACAAGTAATACTATTAATAATTTTAATTATTTTGTTATTAATTAATGTTAATATATTAATTAATATCAATATTAATTACTAATATTAATACAGGGACGCTCTGTTTGTGACTTTGTGTCCTCTGAGCTCTGCCTGTAGGTGGCGCTCTGTCTGCTTCCTGTTTTCTGCTGCAGTCAGTTTCCCCGGCATTAAGAGTTTCTGAGACTGAAATTTAAGCTCCAGCTTTGTGGATTTTTATGGTGGTTTTGAAACTCAAACTTTAATATCTCAAAATTCCTCCATAATTCAGTGCGTGAGATGTAATCAGAGTGATTCAGAGTGGTTTGGTGTGAAATGGTTCAGATGTCTTTACAGTGGTGGTGATAGGAACCAGGGGTCGCCATGACTACAACACAAATATAGACATTTTATTTACTATCCAGAACCACCAGTGAACCTACACGAGTCTTCTGAGTTTATATGGAATGTTGATGATGGAAAATAGTGGAAAATCTGAAATAATACGTTTTCTTTGGGGACTATTTTGTCTCCCAGCGCCCTGCATGTATCCCTCCACCATGAATGGAGCTTAAGTTCTCTAAACTATCATAAAACAGTGTCTCAGTCATCAGGCAGTGAATTCATAACCATTTCATGTAGGAACTTTCTGTGAGGGAGCTTTTAGAGGTGGACTTCTGGTTCCTATCACCACCACTGTGAACAACTCTGACTCGGTAAGTTTCTCTAGAACGGAGCGTTTCACACCAAACCACTCTTCAATGACTTCATATTTATCACACAAATATGAGCTTGTTTCTCTTCTGTCTCAGAGAACTGAACTGATGTCCTGCTTGCTTTGATTGTCCACATGGGAAGTATTAATGTTTCCTCCTCTTGTTTCTTCAGGACGGCTTGATCATTGAGAACATGCATGATGTTCCGTACGTGTTTGGCGTTGGTCCGGAGGTTTGTGCGTGTATGACGGCTGTGTGTGCTGCAGTGAGACAGCTCTGTCCATCTCTGCCCATAGGAGTCCAGATCCTGTCTGCTGCAAACCGGCCTGCTCTGGCTACTGCACTGGCCTCAGGTACATGAACGCTGACCCGCTTACAGCCAGCCCAGTGTAACGAGAATAGTTGGTGCTGTGAAAAGCCAACGAGAGATTCTCTGAGTGTCCACTTGTATTACAGTCAGCGTTTAGAAGTTGAGTTAGTTTAGCTCAAATAGACGATGAGAGGTCTGAATATTATCTTATATGACCCACATCTAATGTTAAACTGACTGACTTAACTCACAGTGACTGAGTGTTTTTAAATGTGTGTATATATAATGATAATTATTAAAGACAACAGTAAAACAAACGATTACAGTGAACATACGGGTTCATGATGCTGTAAACTCTTTGAAAGCCGGACTCTTTAGACCACACTCATGTTTTTTTGTAGAGACAACGGTTCTGTATAGAACCACGGACACTCAAACCATTTGCATGCTTGAATGGTTCTTTGCAAAATTGTTCTTCAGATTGATGGAGAATGTACTGTAGATGGTTCTATACAGAACTTTTTTGAAAAGGGTTCCATATAACCCCTAAAAGGAGTTCTTCCGTTGTTACCATGTCAAGCTTGTAACAATAGCAGAACCCATTTTGGTGCTATATAGAACTCTTTTCAAAGAGGTTCTATATAGAACCATTTTCTTTTCTAAAGAACCCTTGAAGAACCATCTCTTTTAAGACCTTTTTAAAATCATTGCAGTATCTGAATTAAAACATTAACTAATGTATTATATCCTAATTTCCTGGCTCTGCAGGCTCCTTTTCTCCTGCTGCTGATTTGTGTGAAACCTGCACTGCTGAATAATTTTAATGACCGTTTTGAATCTGTAGGGCTCGACTTTATCCGAGCGGAGGGCTTCGTGTTTTCTCATGTAGCTGATGAAGGCCTCCTGGACGCGTGTGCTGGTGAACTCCTGCGCTATCGCAGAAACATTGGAGCAGAACACGTACAGATATTCACCGACATTAAGAAGAAACACAGGTGAGGTCAGAGTGACACGTTTATCATCTACACATCCACCACAATAAACCGGCATAAAGGTATGAAGAAGGATGCTAAAATAATACATAACAGATTTAATATCATGTATATAAACCCCTTAAACTGCAAAACAGCAGTTTTTCACTCTAAATACTACAAGATGCATTAGTTTCATAGCAATGAATACTTCATAGTAGAAATTTAAGTTTATGGTAGACACTGAATAATTCATTATAGATACTGAATCATTCATTATAGATACTGAATAATTCATAGTAGATATTGAATAATTCATAGCAGATACTCAATAATTCACAGCTGATGCTGAATAATTAGTAGTAGTTATTAAACAATTCATAGTAGATACTAAATAATTCATAGTAGATATTAAATAATTCATAGTAGATACTGAATAATTGATAGTAGATTCTGAATAATTCATATTAGATACGGAATAATTCATAGTAGATGAGTAATTTATAGTAGTATAGCCTGTTGTGTTATGTGTGTGGTTGCAGTGCTCATGCTCTCACAGCAGATGTTAGCATAGCTGAAACGGCGCGAGCGGCTGAGTTTTTCCTTTCGGACGGGCTGATCGTCACCGGTTTGGCTACGGGGGTCCAGGCTGATCCTAAAGAGCTGAAAGGTGGGCTCCAGCTTGCACTGTTACTAACACACTCGGTCAGCGGTGCGGTCTGAATAGAGGCTACACTGTGACTAGCTGGCTGACATATCATCACTACAGCAAGAACAACATCATATCCCCAAACTGGTTTTTAGTATTCAAATCTTATTATGCTGTGTGGTTTGTTATTGAGTATAAAATAACAAAAAAATTGATAACATTAAAACTGATTCCAAACTGTTGAATGGCGTATGTGACATATATTTTGTCCATTTTGGCTGATGACAGTTAGGACGATGCTAACTGGTGGGGTGAGCTGTCACTTTAAGGCTTGGTGACATGTTTGTGCTCCAGCTGGTTTGAGGGTTTATAAACGAAGCATGTTCAGGTCCAAGTGCGCTTCCTCTGAATCCCAATACGGGACACGAGGTCACTGCGTGAATCTGAGCTACTTTTGGCTTAGAGATGTGAGGACATTCAATCCCAGCAGAGCACACTGGGAGGAATGTGACGAACGCCCACAGACGCACACACAGTCTCGCACATACACTAACGTTTACTGAGACAGCGCATTCACTCTGACGCCCCCTACAGCACCACCTGTCTTTAAGAGCCGTTCACATTCTAAAATACACAAAAGAGCATTAATATCATCTAAAATAGCATCAGCATCCTCCTTGATTTATCAGTAAAACTGATTAAATACACTGCAGAAATGTTTCAGACAGAAATTCATTAACAGAAATGAATTACTTAATTTGTTATCTATTAAATTTATTAATTAATTACCTACCTAAATGGATTACCTTCCAAACGTACTCTGTGGGGTGGGTTGGCACACTGAATGTTTCTCAGTTTCCTGAGTGTACGGAGCCCCTGAAGGGACGTTTTAATGAAAAGGCGCTTTTTTTTTTAGGTAAAAATCTGATGTGCACCAGATACTATCAGCTGAGCACTCAATACTATCAAGTGAGCACCCGATACCATGAAAAAAAACTATATATATATATATATATATATATATATATGTGTGTATGTATATATTTATATATACATATGTGTGTGTGTGTATATATATATATATTTATATTTTTATATATATATTTATATATATATATACACACCACAGACCACTACTCTGTGCACCAGCTGTGCTTGTTATCCTACGTCATTCCATCATGTAAGAAGACTTTTATGACTTTTTAGAGTCACCACAGGAGACACAAGAACAAATAAAGCGACTTTTAAGTCAGTTCAGATTAGTTTTGTTCGGACAGCCTTAATAATAACCTTCATAATTTTCTGATTTGTCCCTAAATGTCGGCTGGCTTTGCTAGATACAGTTAGCTAGCTAGCTAACTTAGCTAGGGACAAGGCTTGTGTTGTTCTCTACGCAATACATGTTTTTGCATTAAAACTATACACACCCGTGACAAAAATGAGCAGGCGGGCAAAATGTCTTCAAGTTCAGGTGACAAAGATAACCTCGCAAAATGGATAATCGATTCCACTGGGTTACTTTCCAATTTGGAAAAGTGAAGGAGCACAGACAGTTTCACCACCTCATTCAGCAGCTGGGACTATGAGAGTTTTCACATAATTCATAGCTAATTATATCTAGCAAAGGCAGCTATATCAATTTGAAATGGATAAATTGGTAAATTATTAAGGTTTTCATGGCTGCTCAAACAAATAAACTCACCTTATCATCTTTAAGTGGCTTTATTTGTTCTAGTGCCACCTGTCGCCAGTGAACACTGACGCTGTTTATGGATATACAGATGCACACACACACACACACACACACACACATACATACATTTATATATGTATATTTGTGTATATGTATATATATATATATATATATATATATATATATATATATATACACCGATCAGGCATGGTGCTGTGTTAGTGTGTCTTGTTCTAGTAAGAGTGGATCAGACACAGCAGTGCTGCTGGAGTTTTTAAACACTGTGTCCACTCACTGTCCACTCTATTAGATACTCCTACCTTGTCAGTCCACCTTGTAGATGTAAAGTCAGAGACGATAGCTCATCTGCTGCTGCACAGTTTGTGTTGGTCATCCTCTAGTCCTTCATCAGTGGTCACAGGACGCTGCCCACAGGACGCTGTTGGCTGGATATTTTTGGTTGGTGGACTATTCTCAGTCCAGCAGCGACACTGAGGTGTTTAAAAACTCCAGCAGCACTGCTGTGTCTGATCCACTCAGACCAGCGCAACACACACTAACACACCACCACCACGTCAGTGTTACTGCAGTGCTGAGAATGATCCACCACCCAAATAGTACCTGCTCTGTGAGGGTCCATGGGGGTCCTGACCACTGAAGAACAGGGTAAAAGGGGGCTAACAAAGTATCAGAGAAACAGATGGACTACAGTCTGTAACTGTAGAACTACAAAGTGCACCTATATAGTAAGTGGAGCTGATAAAATGGACAATGAGCGTAGGAGGTGGTCATAATGTTATGCCTGATAGGTGTATATTTCTGTTGCGCACCAAATTTTTACCTAAAAAAAAAATTACACCAAATCCCTCCAGGGGCTCTGTAGTGCTGTAACGATTAGCTGCGGCTTTCAAAAATGTTTGATAAATGTTTAGGAAATATTAGAATGCTACATTTTTAATTAATAGTGTACTTAAACAAGCCATGATTGACGCTTTTCTAATGTTTGTTTCAGTAGCAATACCTGATTATCATTTTTTTTGGTTGTAAACATTACAGCATTTTAACATTTGTACCAGGCCCATGTTGGCACAAGCGTGACTAAATTAGTGAACCCTATCTAACGTTCAGTGTGCCTGTTTTTAGCTGAAGCTCTTATTTGCTGACGCTAACACACTGTACGCTGGGGAGATCCCACAGAAGGAAAACTGTGCCAACTGACCCCGGTCTGCTCTACCTAATGGAGTGACTGAGCAGGTATGCAGCCTTATAAAGGACAGTGATGGAGCAGATGTTGGTCTGCTGGCCTTGGTAACAACTCGATGTGGGCAGACGCTCTATATTCTGCTCTGACTGTGTCCCAACAGCAGCACCGCGCACGCTAATATAGACACCAACACCGCCGGCTATTTTTAAACTCCACTTCCAGATGGCCTCTGAGTGCTCACGGCTGTAAACATACACATGGAGACATGTTCCAGCCTGGCCCGACACTGCCCTGCCTGACTGACCCTGCTTGGTTCTGTTCCACCAGACAAAGATTATTCCCAGTTAGCAAAATTTATCTGGCCCACATCTTTGGTTTTGTTCTGGCCCCGTTCTGGCTGGGTCCTTGGCCCAGATCTGGCCCATGTACTGTAAAACAAGAAGCACTAATGGATCTGGCCCACACACTGTAAAGTGAGTAGAACTGGGATCTTCCCGAGCTTTGGCCCGTATACCATAAAATGTGTACGGTTAACGACTGTGGTCCAAATCTGGCCACACACTGTAAAGTGAGCCTATTTAAAAGGTGTGGGCCAGATCTGGTTCATATCTGCCACCCAGTTATGGCTGAGTACCCACCTTGGTCCCCGGCCCAGATGTGGTCAATACATGACAAAAGCCATTTCAGAACAAAACTCTCTACTGATTTTGGTTAAATAAATAAAAAACAGTAAATAAATGAAGGACAGGTTATTGTCTGCACTTTGTGTGTACAGCTTCAAGAACATATCGTTGCTGGCCATTCCGCAGACCACATAGTCAAAGAGTACTATCTTTTCCAAATTCACAAATGCATTTAACAATATTTCTGCATAGATTTCAAACCATGGTGGATGAAATTTTTTTCACGGAAGGACTCGATTCATTTTCTCTGTGAATTCACTTTATACACCGATCAGACATAACATTATGACCACCTCCTTGTTTCTATTGTCCATTTTATCAGCTCCACTTACTATATAGGTGCACTTTGTAGTTCTACAGTTATAGACTGTAGTCCATCTGTTTTTCTGATACTTTGTTAGCCCCCTTTTACCCTGTTCTTCAGTGGTCAGGACCCCCATGGACCCTCACAGAGCAGGTACTATTTGGGTGGTGGATCATTCTCAGCACTGCAGTAACACTGACGTGGTGGTGGTGTGTTAGTGTGTGTTGCACTGGTCTGAGTGGATCAGACACAGCAGTGCTGCTGGAGTTTTTAAACACCTCAGTGTCGCTGCTGGACTGAGAATAGTCCACCAACCAAAAATATCCAGCCAACAGCGTCCTGTGGGCAGCGTCCTGTGACCACTGATGAAGGACTAGAGGATGACCAACACAAACTGTGCAGCAGCAGATGAGCTATCGTCTCTGACTTTACATCTACAAGGTGGACTGACAAGGTAGGAGTATCTAATAGAGTGGACAGTGAGTGGACACAGTGTTTAAAAACTCCAGCAGCACTGCTGTGTCTGATCCACTCAGACCAGCGCAACACACACTAACACACCATCACCACGTCAGTGTTACGGCAGTGCTGAGAATGATCCACCATCCAAATAGTACCTGCTCTGTGAGGGTCCATGGGGGTCCTGACCACTGAAGAACAGGGTAAAAGGGGGCTAACAAAGTATCAGAGAAACAGATGGACTACAGTCTGTAACTGTAGAACTACAAAGTGCACCTATATAGTAAGTGGAGCTGATAAAATGGACAATGAGCATAGAAACAAGTTATGCCTGATCGGTGTATATTCCACATTAGTATACCATCTTGTGCACATATTTTTATAATACATATCATTGCATCCAAAACAATAACCTGCTCAGGCTTAAAGTGATAGGGCATTTCCCACTACACAAGAAAACAAGAACTGACACAAACATCACTGATAGCAAGAGGACAAGCTGGCAAAGATGGCAAAGCTGGTGGTCCACTGGCCCACCAGTGGTCAAGCAGAGTATTAGACAAAATTCCACTTATCATCACTCGTTTTCCCCTCACAGTCCAATTTTTATTCATTTTCCTTCCTTCCTTTCTTTAGTTATCCTTTGTAAATTAATTTAGTTAATAATTTTAATCAGCAACAACATTTTCTATAAAATCATTTACATCAGGCCTTTTTGTTTTCTCAGTTGTTTATAATGTTTGTCTCAGTTTATTTTCTAAAATAAAAGTCTCTGTACATTTAAAATCTGTTTGAGGAGATTAAAAACTAGTTAGAGCTTGTATGCAGGATGATAATCTGGGAGGTCCGAGGGTGGACCAGCTGTGGTGAACAGCCAGCTGACCGATATATGCTCGCTGTCTGGGCTGTTCTGGTTGAGTTGATTTTATCCGCTGATAAAATGAAATAACAGTGCACTTTTCTCCACTCGCACATGCAAACAGATGCCTGACATCACCCAGAATCACATGTAGAATCAAAAAAGTTTAGATTTTTCCCTGTTGAGTGTCAAAATATGCACAAAAACACTCTGTGGAGGCTAGCATGAATGCTAATAGTGTTAGCCAGCTTCCCAGCTGGCTTACTTTAGCTTTACAAAGTAATAATTCTAAATATAGCGATCAATACATCAATATACCATTCTGGCTTACATTCTGGAGCTCTTATCGATGATATAATAGTGCTTTGTGACTTTATTTTCATCTGGAAGAGTCCAGAAATCACTAAAGTGCCATTAGCTTCAGCTGCAAGTGTTAGCAAACACAAAGGAGAACTCCCTCGAGTACCATTAGGTCCTGTTGGTACCGAACTTAAGGTACCAAAAACTATAAAACTAGAACTTCAGTGCTGGACCGATGGCCAGTGGAAACAGAACAGTTCCAGTTTGGTGGTGTTAAAGGTTCGGCTAGTTTGTGCAGCGGAAAAACGGCTATGGTTAAAACATCACCACTGTTTTCCCTCTTAGCTCAAATGTAGTCGATCAGCAAAGTCATGTTTGGCATCTTAAGTTTGCTTTATTAGTTTTAACACTGGAGCTATGAGGATAATGAGCTAACTAGTAACGGTAGCTTATACCAGAGAACTTGTAGAGAGGAGAATTATCACTCTGTAATGCCTTCTGGGTTTCTTAAACACTAGAGGGCGCTCCTGAGCGAGTCCAAAATGAATGGGTTATGGAGCATTTGAGCAAAATCATAGTTTATAAATGCTTAAACTTTTTAAATGTAAAAGAATTCATTCATTTCCTGAACACAGCATAAAACATTTTAACACTGCTGTTATATTTTTAAGAGCTTTTAAACTCGAGTTATAGGAGTTTAAAACGGCGCCTCGTGTACGTTCATGATGTCAGTGAGCGCGAATAGCCAATGAGCTGCTCTGCTCGCCAGCCAATCAGCACTCAGTAGCAGTAATGTTAGCGTCCTGCTGCCCAAAACCCGTTTGCTGTAGAAAAAGGAATCATACAGGGAGGTTTTTTCTTTGTTTTTTAGTGAAATACATCCTTCTACTTTCTAAAATTAAAGGAAAGCTCTGAGTAAGTGATTAGAAACTGTTTTAACTTCTCGTTTTTAGCCCTCTGCTGTTTTGCAGTTCTGTTTTTGATATAATGGGGGAAACAGGAAGCGGCCAGGCTCCTCAAAAACCGGCTCTGCTTATACCCCACTAATTAGCATGGCGCTAACTGCATGCTTAAATCATCACACACTCGCCTCGAAATGTTTTAGTGAATTTGGCTTCCAGTTCGCCTGCTTTGCATTCAAATTTCCCGCAGTTACAGCAGTTACATCCTGGCACCTGAGATAGCTGATGCACCATTTAAGGCGGAACGAAAAGTTAAAAAGCAGGCAAACTGGAAGCCAAATTCAGCCGCGTACCTTATAGCCTATGGAGATGTTCAGTAGTCTGTATTATTTATGATTATGTGGTCTCTGACACTCAATAATACACTGTTATCTATAAATGTGGACTACAGTATTTAGTCTGTACCATTCCTTTATTTTTCAGAGGTTGCCAAATCTGTAAAACTCCCTGTCCTGGTTGGTTCTGGAGTGACTTACGACAACGTGGAGCATTATCTGGACGCAAACGCCCTGATCATCGGCTCCCACTTCAAGAAGGATGGCCGCTGGGAGAACGATGTGGATCCAGACAGAGTGAAGAGGTTCATGGAGAAGATGCACCAACTTCGGAAGTGATGAGATTTACTGCGATTCATTGAGATTTATTGTGCTAACAGAATATTTAAAGGGCCCATATCATGGAAAACAGAACTTTTATGAAATGAGAGTAAACGATGATGTAAACACTGTTAAAGTTTCAAAACATGCACAGCCTGTTTTGAATGTATTTTTTTGTGATGTCACATAAACAACACATGCACATATATCTGCCTATTCAGCTGACAGCAGTTTAGCTCCGTCCATTCATGCTGAAGTTATGAGTGTTTCAGCCTAGACTGCTTTTTGAGCAAGGGCAGCCAATGACAACAGAGCTCATTTACATAAATCAGTCTTAAAGGTACAGTAACCAAAACAGCCTTCTTAATTGTAAAGGATGAAAAGAGGTTGAATGAATGTTTTTAGATTCATAAACTCACACAAACGTTATACACTGATCAGACATAACATTCTGACCACCTCCTTGTTTCTACACTCATTGTCCATTTTATCAGCTCCACTTACTACATAGGTGCACTTTGTAGTTCTACAGTTACAGACTGTAGTCCATCTGTTTCTCTGATACTTTGTTAGCCCCCTTTTACCCTGTTCTTCAGTGGTCAGGACCCCCATGGACCCTCACAGAGCAGGTACTATTTGGGTGGTGGGTCATTCTCAGCACTGCAGTAACACTGACGTGGTGGTGGTGTGTTAGTGTGTGTTGCGCTGATCTGAGTGGATCAGACACAGCAGTGCTGCTGGAGTTTTTAAACACCCCGTGTCGCTGCTGGACTGAGAATAGTCCACCAACCAAAAATATCCAGCCAACAGCGTCCTGTGGGCAGCGTCCTGTGACCACTGATGAAGGACTAGAGGATGACCAACACAAACTGTGCAGCAGCAGATGAGCTATCGTCTCTGACTTTACATCTACAAGGTGGACTGACAAGGTAGGAGTGTCTAATAGAGTGGACAGTGAGTGGACACAGTGTTTAAAAACTCCAGCAGCACTGCTGTGTCTGATCCACTCAGACCAGCACAACACACACTAACACACCACCACTACGTCAGTGTTACTGCAGTGCTGAGAATGATCCACCACCCAAATAGTACCTGCTCTATGAGGGTCCATGGGGGTCCTGACCACTGAAGAACAGGGTAAAAGGGGGCTAACAAAGTATCAGAGAAACAGATGGACTACAGTCTGTAACTGTAGAACTACAAAGTGACCCTATATAGTAAGTGGAGCTGATAAAATGGACAATGAGCGCAGAAACAAGGAGGTGGTCATAATGTTATGCCTGATTGGTGTAAGTGCACCAAATAAAATGAAATGCAAGGAAAAAGTAGCATATGGGCCCTTTAATGTTGAGTTCCACATTGAAACTAGGACGCGCTAAATGTTTTTAGACAAAAATCTTCAGTACACCAATAAAATAGTTACAAAACATGTTTATTCAGCTTTTTTTAAAAAGGTTTTATCAAATATGTTCTTGGATACAAAAAATGTTGGACTATTTACAAAGTCTGTTCACAAATAAAACACAAAGCGAAACACTACAGCAGATGTGCATGTTAAAGAGTAAACACGTATTTAAAACAACGGCACATTTACTTTGGCACTAAAATCACAGGTCATAACAACGTATATGATATCAAAACTGCACGCAAAAATCAGAGCTCGAGTTTCTCACTCAGTTCGTAAAACATTTATATTTTCACTAAAAGTAACTTGCATCAGTTCTGTAAAGGTAAACATGTTCTACTCTACTATCAGTGTTATTTAGGCACGTTAGCTACGGCTAAGCTAAAAAAAGAAACACACACACACTCTATACTACTGTACTTAATGTAGGTGCTATAACTGCATCTGTTTTTTTTATTTTTTTCACAAGAAATGTGGGATTAGCTTATATTTCCCACAAAAAACTGCATCAATCTGCAGTCTGGTCAGTTTTTAAATATCTAACGGTGTCTTTAACAGAGAGGTCAGCAGTGGTGTAGACTAGGGCTGCACAATATAGACAAAAATAAAACATATTGTGATTATATTTCTTACAACATAATAAAAAACTCATTAATGAATCATTAATGGTGTATGATTATTGTGTTATTGTGACAAAAATGACTACATTTGATGGATCACGGTGGATTTAAAGTCATAAATACACTCTGTGATTAACAACAGACATTAAAAATGGTGCGATTGCTTAGAGGGCTAATTTGCATAGTGTGGCCTGATTTGCATATTGCACTTGAACTAACTGGAAATATACTGACATTTATTGCAAATGCATTTTATGTGAGTCTGTTTATGCTGACACTGTTGTATTGAATGTGAACGTGTTGCATAGCTGAATTAACCCATTAAAGTCCATATCTGAATTTTTCTCCCTTTTTCTCTGAACTCTGAACACAAAATCTGAAGAAATCTTTCCAATCAAGCAGTCCATATGGCTAAAAGTGAGTTTTTATCACTTAATTATCATTAAAGATGGTATTTTGGTCACACCGGACTGATTTTTAACAATTTTGATTTATAAAAATGACATAAAATCAGAATCAAAATCATAGGAGTAATTTTAGATGCTTATCCAAAGTGTAAATATACAAAAGTTCATCATTTTAGACCAATCTGAACAAATGAGTAATAATGCTAATAGTAGTAATTAATAAAAATAATATTTTTATTTAGCACTTTTCATTTTAATCAAAAAAACTCAAAGTGCTTTTAAACAGGAAGCTCAGTAAAACACTGGAAAGACAGAATAAAAGTTCAGTGGCATGTAGTTGTTGGACATGAATGGGTTAAGTTCATTAAGCGATTTATTGCAGTATCGATTAATAAGCGATGTATTGTGCAGCCGTAGTTTCGCCAAACCCGAAGAGATCAGAGGATTTGATTCACGCGTGCGTCTGCTCCGAGGTCAGTGGGGTCAATAGTTGTAGAGGCGCTGAGTGGGCTGTTTGAAGTGTCCGTATCGGCGGTCAGTTGGAGAGAAGCGTGTGTTGGCCAGGTTCTGCCTGTGGAGGGCGCTGCGGGTCAGTTTCCTGCGGTCAGCATGGGCTCTGGCCCGCTGGACTGAGAGCAGGACGGGCAGTGGGACGCCCCACGCTGCCAAACACCACGAAACGTGACGCCTGACCGGCACAGGCCTGGACACAGGACACACAGAGTCAGCCAGGAGTTCATTAAAGCATTACTTCAGTGAAACCCCCACCCTCCACCCCAACCTGCCCCACCCACACACACTTTACCCCAAATAGAGTCCACCAGCCAAGTTTCGGAAGTTTGCTTCTTCAGTTTTAGCGCTGATGCCACAAAGCTAATGTAGCTAACAAGTAATGGAAGCTTATACCCCACCAATTAGCATGGCGCTAACTGCATGCTTAAATCATCACATGCTTGCCTCAGTATCTCTAATAGTCTTAATTATGTGGTTTCCAACACTGTGTGACCCGCTATTATCTATAAACATGGACCAAAGTATGTTAGCATAGCAAAAACACTAGCAACCACCTGGAACACTGAATTTCTGAATTTTATATTTTAATCCATGTTTATGAATAAATAAAACAGAGCACTTTGAAAGTGACTCTCATTTGCAATGTAGCCAAAAACAAAAAATGGTGATACATATGTGCAAAATTAGGTGTAAAGAACTAAAACAAGTACGACTCTCAAATGTACAATAAATAAAAAATGTCAAGCAGAAAGTAAGACCACATGAGAAATAAAGATAAATGAAATCATAAAGCAACAATAAACCAAATAATATAATAAGCAACCAAGTCTAAAAATATTTGGTGAAAGAATAGATTGAATAATCTTACAATATTCTTACAACAATCTCATAATGTGAAGCATTAGATATATTGAGTGCATTTAAGATGGTTTTATAGACGACAGTGAGTCATGCAGAGTCAGAAACCACAGAATCAAGACTATTAGAGACACTGAACACCTCCACACAGTTTGAGACATGTAGTTAGCAACATCCTAATTGTTAAGGTATAATCTTTACACCTCATTACATGTTAGCTACATTACTTAATAATAATACAACCCCAATTCCAAAGAAGTTGGGACGCTGTGTAAAATGTAAATACATGTAAAGAAAAGCAGAATGCAATGATTTGCAAATCTTAAAGACCCATATTTTATTCACAATAGAGCATTGAACACATATCAGATGTTGAAAGTGAGACATTTTACCATTTCATGAAAAACATGAACTCATTTAGAACTTCATGGCAGCAACGCATCTCAAAAAAGTTGGGACAGAAAGAATTTCAAATTTTGATTCATCTGACCACAGAACAGTTTTCCATTTTGCCTCAGTCCATTTTAAATGAGCTTTGGCCCAGAGAAGACGGCGGTGTTTCTGGATTGTGTTGACATACAGCTTCTTCTTCGCATGATACAGCTTTAACTTGCGTTTGTGGATTGCACGGCGAACTGTGTTCACAGACAGTGATTTCTGGAAGTGTTCCTGAGCTCATGCAGTGATTTCCAGTACAGAATCAGGACTGTTTTTAATGCCACCTGAGGGCCCGAAGATCACAGGCACCCAATATTGACCATCGGCTTTGTCCCTTGCGTACAGGGATTTCTCCAGATTCTCTGAATCTTTTGATGATATTCTGTACTGTAGATGGCTGGATTTCCAAAGTCTTCACAATTTTACGTTGAGGAACATTTTTCTGAAATTGTTCCTCAAGTTTTAGACACAGTTTTTCTCAGATTGGTGAATCTCTGCCCATCTTTGCTTCTGAGACTCTGCCTCTCTGAAATGCTCTTTTTATACTCAGTCATGTGAGTTAGTTGCAAATTGCTCCTCCAGCTGTTTTTTATTAGTACCACTTACGTTTCCAGCCTTTTCCAACTTTTTGAGATGTGTTGCTGCCATCAAGTTCTAAATGAGTTACTGTTTTTCATTAAACGGTAAAATGTCTCACTTTCAGCATCTGATATGTGTTCTATGTTCTGTTGTGAATAAAATATGGGTCTATGAGATCTGCAAATCAATGCAGTCTGTTTTTTATTTACTTTTATTTTCATTTTACACAGCGTCCCAACTTTTTTGGAATTGCGGTTATACTTGTTACATTACTTTATAATAATATTTATTATATTACTTAATAATAACACTTATTGTCATTATTATTATGGATCTACTGACCTAGGAGAACCTTCTTCTTCATCTGAGGCCTCCTCCTCCTCCTCAATCCTGCGACGCCGCATCTGGTACACTGACATGCTCGGGTGTTCTATCAGCAGGTTCTCCAGAGGATCCTCCTCAGCGAGGCCCAAAGATCGGTTCTCTGCGCACAAAACACAACAACCATTTATCTCTCATTAAACTTCATACTTCATTTAAAAATCTCACAGTATTTCTGCTTCTAGCTGGGAAGCGTTTAGGTACCCACTGTTTGATCATCCTGCTCAAACATTGGCAAATTTAAAAAAACTTAAATGTATTTCTAAAAACAAGCAAAAAATTGTCAATGAAATAAGATACAATTGTTTAAAACAAGTCACATAAATTGAAATATACATATTAAATTGAGGTGTTATAACGATAATGTGTACGTCCAAGATATAACCATAGGATATTTCATTTAAACTAATCAGAGAAAATCAATAATAATAACAATAATAACAATAATAATAACAATAACAATAATAATAATAATAACAACAATAACGATAATAATAATTATAACAAAACAGCAACAAAACCAATACTAAAGCTGCTATTAATGATAATAACAGGATTAACTATAATTGTTATTATCATTATCATTATTATTACATTTATACTTAACAAAAATTCATTTATAATATAACAACATTTATTATGAACAATATCTAATAGTTCATTTTCCTTATCACACTAACTTTCGTTGTTGGATGTGAATGAGTTAACTACCAAAACACAGAGTAAACTGAAGATTAATCTCAAGCTCAAAAGTTACCACTAGTTTTAAAACCAAAAATGAGGCCACGCCCACTTTAAAGTCAGAGACGCTAAAGCGAATAAAGCTCTAAAATTCTGCATGCTGTCTGTTGGGCACAGTGACTTTCTTTACTGAACGTACTGATCGAATCAGAAGCGTGGTGATTTGGGGAAATCTGAGCCCTGTTTTTACCCTGTATGTTAATGATGACCCATTCTCCATCTTCAAACTCCAACACGTCCTCACAGGCCTCGTTCTCCACGGCAACAGCAGCTTCCTCCTCAGCGCTGCCGAGGAGCTGGGCGAAGATTTTGCTGATCATTTTGACGCGTTTTTCTTCTCCTTGTACTTCAAACTTTAAATTAAAATCTGTAAACAACAGAACAGAGCAGAGTTAAGATGACATCTTAACCCATTAATTTTGGACTCGCTCAGGAGCGCCCTCTAGTGTTTGAGAAACCCAGAAGACACTACAGAGCTGTAATTCTCCTCTCTACAAGTTCTCTGGTACAGCTTTTGTTTAGTGGTCGTAATGTGGGCAAGAATCTGTCTGAATGGATCAGACTGAACTCCACTGTGCTGCTGTAACATCTCTAATATTGTACTTTTATAAGGAATAAGAGTCCTCCAATAAACTGAAAATAGACACATTAACATATTAGCACAATAAAATTAGGCACATGATCAGCACACAATATTTTGTCAAAAAATACACCCACAATAGAGTAAATAATCACCCCTAATGAAGTTGAGTTACTTTTGTCAATAATAAAAATATAATATACTTCAGCATACTATAGTGAACGTGTCACTGTCAGTGTAGCTCTTGTGTGTTTCTCTCTCAGATGACTGATGGATGGAACAGCACTCCCGCGTATCGTGTGAAGCTGTTACGCGTCACTCAGGAAATCAGAGACAGGCTTGCATAAGCTGAAGCATAAGGCCGGATTTTGCTGTGTTAACAGGTCAGAACAGGCTGGACACTGGCTGGAAAGAACGGCCTGCTGTCCTTTAGCCTTCGCAGTTTATTTATAACACTGTCTGGAATTCTGGCTCCTAATTTAGAATGACTTTAAAAGAAATTAATAAATGAATGATCACAGCATCAATACTGCCCCGGACACAAGGTCACCGTGTACTCGCCAAAAGCTCTGTGTCCCTCAACTCTGCGCTCAGTGAATAAATACAGCCTTAAAGTGATTAAATGTCAGTCCACCTTAAAAGATAAGCTGCCTACAATCTAAACCGGACAGTCCCTAGTGTAATTCAGCAGTGTGGTGAGAGGCTGTGGCCACTGCTTAGAAAATTTATAAATCAGTGTATAAAAATGTTTTTTTATATCTTATTGATTTCGTTTAGCTTGAAAAGCATATGTAATTATAATAAAATGTGTATTTTTTTATTTAAATTGAAATATGTGTAAATAACAAAACTTTTTTAATAAAAGTCTTTTTTGAAAACTTGAAATATATATATTTTTTAATGTGTACATTTTTAAGTAAAAATATTAAAAGATTATAGCCTAAATAAAAAAATAAAAAGTATTTAGATTTTAATTTCTTAATAAAAATATTTTTAGCTATCTTAAATAAAAAATATTTTATAGGATTTATACAGTTTTTTTTTAAAAATGCCTGGGGGCTTGTTAGTATTGAATGTTTTCCTAGAAACCTGTAAATAGTAAGAATCTTTTTTTCCTTGTAGCTTGACTCCTCCTGGAATTTATGTGTAATCAGACTCCCTTTGAAGGCGTCTAGACAGAACCAAGCAAGTTTTCCCCAAAGACTTTTAACTTTTCACCCCAGTAGCCTTTCAGTATCCGTATAAATCAACTTCGAAGCTTCAGCTAATAATATAAACACAGTATTAAGTAAGTATGTCACATGCAAATGCTTTTATAAATGCAAAAAACAACAACAGTCAACTAAAGCTCACTTTTGCCTCTAAAAACACTCCAGAATGAGGTGTCTGTGTCGCTGGAGTTAGATTACTGTTAGATCTCTGTGTTTGCTTCGGGCTGCAGGAGTGGTTTGTATGTTTTGTTCACTCTCTGCTTGCACACTCTGTCCATCTAAAGGCTCATCTTACAATAACAGCACAGTCTAAGAGTCAAAATCTATTACATATGCCTGTTTTCTTCTGTGGAAACAGAACATACTACAATTTCTCAGCATCTAAACACAATGTACTATAGTAGTCTATTTTTTCACTATGCATTTTGATATGGGCTGTGTGTTTTTCATGTCCCAAGACTGTCTTAATGTTACTCGACAAGTTTTCTCAAAGATATATGTATACATTTTATATAAATATCTGGAAATACTCTGTAGGTAAATAACATTTTAGCATTAGCATTTTCTTGAATTTTTTTTTCAAAAAGACATCATAGTTTGTGGTTTATCGGGTGGAGAGGCAGTATGCACTCTTCACGTAAGTTATATAGCACACTTACTTAAAGATATTCACTAATATTTCATTTAAAAGCAATATAATTTGCTGTTTACTTGGTGTGAAGGTAGAATACTCATCACAAAGATCATAAAACACCAACACAGGAGACAAAGCAGACCGAAGCAAACTCTGAGTTTAAATTATCCAAACTAAGATTATCAGTTTAAATATCAGTCTGTAGATCAGAGTGAGTTTTAAAAAGCAGGATTTCTCACTAAAGCTGGTTAATCTGAGCTAAAGTGTTTATTGTTCTATAGATCTGACTCTTTCTCCTGTCGGACAAACAGGACTTTTAAGACTTTTATTTTGTTATTTCGGCTAACGGATAAATTCAGCTGTATTTATAGATCAGTAAGTAATGATCTTACCTGTGCAGATCAGCGGCTCAGTAATGTCTCAGTCTGTTTTACAGTCTCAGTCTGTTTTACAGTCTCAGTCTGTCTGTCTCTCTCTCTGTCTCTCTCTCTCTGTGTCTCTGTCTCTGTTTGTCTCTCCGTTTGTTTACGTTCAGTAAGCCCCGCCCCCTGCGTGACGCCACCGCTCTCCGCTTTTTTCAAATTCAGGAATCGCAGCGCTCTTTCTCTGCCCATTAACCACGTCACATCCGCCTCAGATCAGCGGGACTTTTATATGTATATATAAGATAAGATAGCTACAAAACCTGTTGTGATTGGTCTAAAGTGTTGAAATGTGGTGTAGTTATTGTTTAGTGTAACATCTGACAGAACCCAATTAAATATTTTGTTCACATAAACTTTAATATTTTTATTTACGATCAATTTAGTATTTTCTACTTTTTTTCAGACCACAAGACTAAATTTAATGGCATTTTTTGGTGATAAACTAACTTATTTCATTTTTTAAAATTGAAATCTCTTCAGATTAGTGCTCAGAGCCCAGAGAGTGTGTGGAAGTATAACATTTTCACACGTCGCTGTTGTCGGAGTGAAACCTCGTATCTCCAAAATGGTAACTTTACAGGAGAAGGAAAAAACATACTCTACTTTTAATGTAAGTCAATGGAACCAGACGTCTTTCCAAGTCATTTTGGGCCGTTTCTTTTGGCCAATTCGTTATGAAATTAGCACATAAGGTAAAGGGAAACGGACATTTTCCAATAATGTTAAAAACTTTTTTCAAATTCAGGAATCGAAGCGCTCTGTCTCCGCCCATTAACCGCGTCACATCCGCCTCAGATCAGCGGGACTTTTATATAAGATAAGATAAAATAAGAAAAGCTTATTGTCCATTAAATTTGCATGAAATGGAAATTTGCCTTTGGCAGTCTGGCACATAAATGCATAAACACATAAAACACTTAAAAACACTTACGGCAGCAGTGCACATCAACTATGTAGGGGGTTATTTATTGTGTCCTTAGTCAGAATGCCATTCTTTCTGGCTAGTGGGCCCTTAAATCTCCTACCCGATGGCAGCAACTGGACTGATGAATGAAGGGGGTGGGTAGGGTCCTTGTAGACCTGGGTTGCCTTGTTGGTTATGGATCGGATGTATACGTTCTGGAGTGACCTCACTGGCCTGGTTGACCACCTGGGCCAGTTTGTTTCTTTGCTTAACTGAGAGGTTCCTGTACCAGGACACTGAGAACACCCTCTATAAGTGACCTGTAGACCATGATCAGAGTGTGTTAAAACCCATCAGCCTCCTGAGCAGAGAGAGTCTCTGCCTCGCCTTTTCATAGACATAATCTACATTGTTCTGAAAAGTGAGTCTGTTGTCAGTAATTGTTCCCAGGTGTTTAAAGTGATCGACTATAGTTCCACTATACGTTCAGATTTAATATTACGGTTTTAAAAATAACTACAACATCATTTAAACCCGGGAAGCGTTTAATTACAGTGATCCATTATCACGATGCTGGAATTAAAAACACATATTCATCCTTTTCATTTATTGTATCATTGTCAATTTATTGTCTTGCGTCTATTTCTTTTATTTTATTAATGTGTTTTATTTATTTTATCCTTATCTGCTCTGTTACTTGATAAGTTGTTACATTGTAATTTTAATTGTTTATTGATTTAATAGTTTATTGGTACCTTCTTATTATTACATTTTACTTTTATGATTTTTATTATTTAATTATAGCGTTTGATTGATTTTTTTTACTGTACAACTTCTCAATCCCTGATTCCTGTGTTACTCGGCTACATCGTAAATGAGGGTCTCCCTCAGTGTATTCCCAGTTTAAATGAACGTTGATTGATTGATTGATATTATTATTTTTTATTATTGTTGTTATTCTTGTTTTTATTATGCATTTATAATGATGTATTACAATGCGTAATATCGTAATGGTTATACATACAGCTGCTATATAATGCTCTTTATTTATTTATTTATTTATTTATTTATTTATTTATTTACTTGTTTATTATTTCTTTTTGATATATACAAAGACAGACTTCTCAATTTTTATATCATTTTCCTGTTTTATTGCAACAGCAAAGTAATGTGGGTTTTTTTTGTGAAAGGAAATGAAATGAAAACTACGTGTTTCCCAAAAATATTGTGTTTTTGAGATATATCTATATATTTGTGTACACACTAATAAAGAAATTAGACAATACTGAGCAAAATACTACATATAATCAATCAAAACAGGATCATGACACTGATTTTGGCATCAGTGAAGAGCCACAGTTGCAGTTCTACTCGGGATGTATTGCTGGTGTGGTGGCGCCCCCTGCCGGCGGAGCGCAGAACTGACCCATCACGGTCCAGCTGTTTTAAAGTGAACTTTTACCCAGCGGCCTTTGCGCAGGAGGGCGTATAGAGGCTGTCCCTGACGCTCTCCTGTTCAGTTATACTCCAAACTCTGAGTTTAGGCGGTTCGGCTCCGACAGAAGCAGCACTTTGTCTGTGATTGTATCACTACTGACTGTCATCACTGTGCACTGGAGTCAAAGATCAAACCCAGCAGGCACTGCGGCTCTGCCAGCGCACCGACGGTGAAGCAATAAAGTGAAGAAATCAGCTCATCAGACAGGTAAGATCAGCCTGATGACTCAGTTAATCCACACTAAAACACAGCTTTGGGGATCTACAGTGAGAGATGAGGGCTGGTTTTGGGTTTATTAGAGCGCTCTTACCTCACCTTAATCACCCTAATCACCTTAATGACTAAGCAGATATTTAGGGCCTTTTATTTGACTCTGTTTCTGTTTATTATTGTTGTAACTGCTCAGTCTGATCGACTATTGGCTGGAAACTTCAAATAGGCTGTGTAGAACTAAGAGATTCACCCTTTAATGCCCACCAACTACTTTTAGTGTGAACAGTGTGGAGCTACAAAACCTGTTGTGATTGGTCTAAAGTGTGGTATAGTTATTGTTTAGAGTAACATCTGACAGAACCCAATTAAATATTTTGTCTACATAAACTTTTATACTTTTATTTACAATCAATTTTGTATTTTCTACTATTTTTTCAGACCACAAGACTAAATTTAATGGCATTTTTTGGTGATAAACTTACTTATTTCATTTTTTAAAATTGAAATCTCTTCAGATTAGTGCTCAGAGCCCAGAGAGTGTGTGGAAGTATAACATTTTCACACGTCGCTGTTGTCGGAGTGAAACCTCGTATCTCCAAAATGGTAACTTTACAGGAGAAGGAAAAAACCTACTCTACTTTTAATGTAAGTCAATGGAACCAGACGTCATTTTGGGCCGTTTCTTTTGGCCAATTCATGTAAGGTAAAGGGCAACAGACGTTTTCCAATAATGATAAAAACTGAAAAATGGAGGTACAAGGTTTTGTTCCGACAGCAGGGATATGGACATTATATCTACTGCTTATTATACTTATTATAAGCTTTGAAAGACATATTATTATATTTTATTATTCATACATCCTTCACATATTAAAAAATAGCATTAAACACATGACATTTAAACTGTATGTTTTAAGATATCACATGTATTTCTAACACATGCACCTCTGTTTTTCCTCTGTGTGAATCAGGCTGTGTGCTGTAAAAGTTTTCACATGTCGTGAAAACAGAACCTTGTTTATTTGTAGAAAATGGTCAAGTTGAGCCCAAAACAGTTCAGCACCTTCAGTTTCGGTGTTTAGTTTAGCTCCACAAACCGGCTCTGGGCGAATTATCATTCGCCCTGTTGGGTTTTTGTTTACATTTTGCCTGTAATGTTTACTGAAGATCTTTATTTGGCAGCTTCTTACTAGAATTTTGCAGTTCCACCTTAAATGGTGCAGCTGTTACATTCTGGTGCCTGAGGACAGTTTCAGCCTCAGAGTTTTTATGCTGGTGGACGTTGAATGTTCTAAGAAGCTCCAGTGTGGTTCTTTGAATTACACAGTGCTCAAGTAGCACGTAGAACTGCTGCTTTTACATTCATACACTCTTAAAAGAGAAAAAAAGTAAAGACAATGGTTCTGTATAGAACCATGAACATTTAAAAACCCTTTGCATGATTAAAGGGATCTTTACATCGTGAACGTGTTCTTCAGATTGAGGGAAGATTTGCATGAATGTGCCACAGACGGTTCTATATAGATGTTTTTTGAAAAGGGTTCTCTATAGCACCCAAAAGGGTTCTTCTATTGTTACAAGCTTCAAGTCTTAACAACAGAAGAACCCCTTTCAAAAAGGTGTAATATAGAGCCATATACAACACATTCTTCTTCAATCTGAAGCACAATTTAATTATGCAAACAACCCTTTGATCATGCAAAGAGTTCTTTGAGTGTTTCTTTACTATAAAAAACCCCTGAAGCACCATTTTTTAAGTGTGTACTTAAGTCAGATGTTTTTTTTGGAAAGGTACTTTCACTTTTACTTTTACTGCACTTACTGTTTCACTGCTTTAGCAGCACTTTCAGTGTTCTGGATGCTCTAAGTTGTGCTTTTGTATGTACAACCTTTTATATCTGACTCAAAGGTCAAGTCAAAAGGTCACATTTTTTATTAATTTATTCAATTCTATATATTCTGATTCTAAAAGTCATGAGTTTGGTACATGCTAAACATTCAGACAATGAACTGAGGACGAATACAACTGTCCTAAATTAAACAATGTGCATTATGTGATGATATTAGAGTCATTATAATGGTGTAATACACACTTTTAGTGCTGGTGCAAAAACGAAACCCGTGTTACGGTAAACCACAACAAAGGCAGACAGCTTTCTGTTTTGAAGAGAAGTGGAACCTGTAGAGCATTGTGATCTGAATAAGCCCTGAAACCTGTTTTAAACTGCCCATGTGTGATCTAAAGGCCACGCAAGAGCCAACAGGAGTGGCTGGATTACTCCAGACACTGTCTATACATAATAATAATAATAATAATAATGATATTTTATGTTTTTGCAAGAATTACACTTTTACAGGATTATATTTAATGCACAGTTACTGTTTATTTGTTGACTGTGACGTACATGGGGGGGAGGCGGGGGGTAAATGCAAAGTTAAGGCATACGTATCTACATACATGTACATGGCATTGATATGACGTGCATTTTTTTGTGTCCAAGTCCATTATTTTCCCAAAAAATAATTTAATAAATACAAGACATATCAGACGATGCAACAATACCTTTTTTATGTGAAACAATTTTTAGTGCATCCATATAAAATTCATTTTAGTTTCTGTTTGCCACCAGAAGTCTTAAAAAATCCTCCAACCATACATGCTTATTAAGTAAACTATCAAAAAAGGAGAATTTAGTTGTAACGTTTCAAATAAAATAGTTTGACATGGTTTTAGGTTTAAAAGCTTCAAATTAAAAACCATGTTGCAACTATAAGGCAACTTTAAAAGTGCTCAACTCAGTGACTCGATTGACAGCTGGCGCGACTAAAAACACTTATTAGTTATTGAAAAGACTTTTGACTTGCTTTTATGATTGGGGGTCCAGGAAATTGCATCATAAAGAAGACCCCAAGTGACCTTAATGGTGCAGTGCCAAGGTCACAGATTTAGTAAAATGAATGGCTCAGTTTACCATGTCAGGTGTTCTGACCTCAGTAGAACCATAAAAAATGAGGAATTATTATAATAATATTAGTGACAGACTGTGTCTAATTTATTTGAAAAAATGCAAGTATAAACATAAGTTGAAGGAAAAGTTTTCTACTGGTGTCCAAGCAGATGCCTGTTTAATTTGAAATTAGTCTGAAAAGTCAGGTGGCGCAACCATCCAACCATACATGTTCAATTGAATAAACTAACAAAAAGGTAATGTAGTTATATCACATTCTAAATAAAATAGTTTGGCATGGTTGCATGTTTGCATACTTTAAAATAAAAACCATGTTGCAAAATAAAATACGCCAACTTAAACATGCTTAGCTCACTGACTCAGATGTCAGCTGGTGCAACCTAAACCAAAGGACTTTTATTTTGACATGAAAGTTTTTATGAAAGAGTGGCCAGGGAATTGCATCATAAAGAAGACCCCAAGTGACCCTCATGGTGCGGTGCCAAGTTCACAGATTTAGTAAAAGTGTGATGTTTGAGTCGTGGTTAGAACGGCTCAGTTTACCATGTCAGGTGGTCTGACCTCAGGAGAACCAGAGAAAATGTGGAATTATCATAATAATGTTTATTTATTTGAATAAAACATGAGTATAAACTCAAGTTGAAGGACAAAGCTTTCTACGGGTGTCTAAGTAGATGCCTGTTTGATTTAAAATTAGTCTGAAAAGTCAGGCGGCGCAACCAGTCAGTCAGATGGAGCAACCAGACCAGCACAGTTTAATAACTGAAAAAGGCAATTAAAGCTTTGATAACACTCACTATATTTAAGATAGAAATGCTCAGATATGAGACATATGGGTGAGATTTATTCTGCATTGTTTTGTCTCCACGTGTCTCTGCCTGTCTGCTCACCTACACAACAGAGCAGGAAACGTATTGATCGGTTATTGATGAGAGTGTGTTTATCAGCAGGTAGGAGACGTGATGGCTCACCGTGTACAGGACGTCATGCGGCTGTGCTGCGAGGTGTCGGCAAACCAGCAGATGAAAGCAGCAGTAAAGGGTTCTGGGAAGGGAGCGGCCGTGGCAGGGGGAGGAGCCTTTGTGGGCGGCCTTTTAGCCGGACCGGTGGGGATCGCTGCAGGTACATACACTCAGTTCTTTAGCTTTTCACACGGCTAGAGATCATGAGCATTTTCAGTTCTGAGGTTGCCATTAAATTCCATTTTCAGTATTTAATGTCTTCTATATTAATAAAGGTTCTCCAGTAGAACCGTTTGAAGTCCTTGAAGTTCCACACTCTAACAAAACAATACCCAAAAATGACGATCTCTACAAAAAGGCCCAGTCAATTAGCGTGAGTGTGTCCATAACACAAGCCCCGCCCCTACCTGCCCACTTTACTCTAATAGGTTGCTTGTTTTAACCTCTTGTTCTCCTGGGTATATTTTAGTTTTTCCATCTGAATTTTCATGACCAAATTGTAAGGCAAATTATTCAGTAACTGCATGAAATAAATGCAAATTTTTATTTTATTTTATTTATTTATTTATTTATTTTGTAAAAGCTCCCCTCAAATTAACAGAATGTGTTTTATGATCACACATATCGCTATATGCTTACAATTTACTGCTGAAAGCCAAAAATCTTAGACGCTCTTTGTATTATTTTATAAAAATAATTCTTACAGAGCAGATCACTGAAGAGACGCCGTCTGTTTATAGTTTATAGCCCAGATTTGTGGAAAAATGGGTCGACTTTCAGTAGAACAAAAAAAATACTGAGTTCAGCTTCTTTTATTATAAGGGTTTAAAATTACATCACCCATCTATTTGACTGGAAAGAAGACAGTTACAGCTCTTATACGACCCCCACCTTTAGAATGTAGCTTATGAAATATGAAAAGTATGAAGAATATAACAAAGTATGTTTTGGAACCACCGGTGGTCCCAAGGAGTTTAAGAGTGTTTTACACCAGGGGTCGACCGATTATCTGCCCAATTTTTTCCGATTATTGGAATTGGCATTTGAACTTGCTTCCTTGCCAGTGAAAGTATTTTTTATTATGTATGCGCATGTAGTTAATAACCAGTGTCCCACCCACAGTGTTACTGGACTGTAAACCACATGTTCTGTAAATCCAGTCAAACGTGCTTTTCGGTTTATTGAGAGACACGGAGGGAATGAAGAAGTGCCTGCTTCACTTCTGCAGCGAAAAGAAAAGGAACATGTTGGGGTTTAACAGAGTTGCCAGCCAAAATCTCAGAGCACTTGGTCATATAATTTCACTCTCACTTTCATTTTATTTCAAAATAAGAGATTTTTTGTTATGCAGTAACACCAGTGACACAACTCCTGGGAACCACAACTTTCATTATATATTCTATAACATTTATTTGTCATTTGTTTTTTGTTTTTGTCTTGTTTTGAAAAATGTGTTTTTTTTTTCTTCAAAATATGGCCTCAGCCTTCACACGTGACTGTGGGGACGAGCTCTTCTGTGGTGCTTGGAATTCTAGATAATTGATTAAAATACCAATATTGCTAAATTGAGGCTCAAGAAGGTGTAATTGTTCAAATAAATTTAAAATACAAATAAATTGTAACTCTAATATGTTTTTTAAGTGTAATATATCTGTAAATGCCAGGGACACAAAAATGGACATTTCTGCACATTGACCCTCATGTACTCTCGTTGTTGTTGCTTTTTACAAAGTAATGACGGTTTTTACTGCATGATTGCTCAGATGTTTACTGTAGTATTTTTACTGTAACAGGCCTGGGTTGGCCTAAGATAACACAAGAGTCATATTAGCTCATGGCTGGTCTGTTATCTTAGGCCTAACACATTAGCTTGTGGCTAGCGTCTAAGCCTTGGGGCTAATGTATCATCTAACAGCCAGCATAATGTACTACAGCCATTCGTTAACATGAGCCCTAAGTCTCACACAAAGTGTGAGCTAATTTGTTAGCGCTGAGGTACGCACGAGTTACAAGCATATATGTTAGGCTTGTGCCATAGATATACATACCCAGATGCCGCGTTGTCTGTTATTCTCTATCTGAGGCGATATGTCTACGCGTCCGCCATGTTGGAGAGGTCAAGATCCGCTTGTGAACAGATTCACTTGTGTTGAGAGACGAAGAGCCTCAGGATTAAATCAGCCACAATTTCCTTATTACTCAACCGATTTTCACCAAATCTGTTTTGTTATAATCCTCAGACACAGATTAATCTAGACTGCACGGATTGTGATAATTAGCTGTCCTGGCCAGCAGGAAAGTATTCAGTCTGAACCTGGCGTTAAAAACCGAGTTTAGCGTGAGAAACACAATCAGACACATCAGCAAATCCATCAATGTGTGAATCACTTCTAATCTTAATACACAGAAAAATAAAATAAACCCCCCAAAACACAGTAAGAAGGACGAAGCTAAAGTTGGTTTCCTATTCGCCAGCGTCTTGTTCAAGTTTTCCCGTTCCACCTTAAATGGTGCAGCCGTCATTTTCTGGTGCGTGAAGCTGCACCATTTAAGGTGGAGCGGAAAATTCGAACATGAAGCTGGCAAATAAGAAGCCAACTTCAGGTTCTTGTAAGAAGGTTCTAACATTAATCTATTATGAATATCTACACAGATTAAGGAACGCTATAACTTACCCAGCTACAAAGCTTTAACCATCACTGTAAATAAATAACTACTACATAGTTAAGATCCTGAATAGACTATTAAATGAAATGAGCTTAATATAAAACCAGAGGAAAAACAATCACATCAACAGGTTCTCTGTGCCTCATTAACCACACGGCCATATCTACACAAACACCACACAGACAATACGCATCACACAGACATGAGTGTGGGTCACTGCGTTCCCTCCGTTATATAATCCTATCCCACTTTCTGAGTCTGATATTCCTGAAATAGTGTAATTTTGGACAGTATCTTTCTTAAACTGCTGCTCTGTAATGGTACTGAATGCAGTCCAGCAGCGATGTTGACCATCCTAAAATGGCGGCGCCGTTGACGTGCCCGGCTGGACCCAATGCGGCTTCTAGGTATGTATATCTGTGGGCTTGTGCTAACGTGCTATCCATGAACTACGTTAGCCCCATGCTAACTGTTCAGAAGCTAACATGTTAGGCATGATACAGTGAGTCTTTGCAGTGCTTTAGGATGTTGAATGATGTCTCGGTTACACTTCAACATGTAGGCACTAAAAATACTCATAATAAAGTGTTTCCAAAATTTATAACCATGTTTACAAAGTGTATCATACAAATCGGAGCCACTTTGTTTAAATGTATTTGACTCTTACTGAAATATTTTACAGGTTGAATCTCAAAATGAAACAAAAAATCTACAATCAGAGTGGAAACTTTGTCAGAATGGTGAAGTCATTTGTTACTGTTATGATCATTTAACACTTCAGTGATAAAGTCTATGTAAATTAGCAAAAGATTTGCATAGAAAACATTTGCATAGACCTGATAACTGATACTGCTGTTATGTCTGTGCAAAGGTCCACTATGACGTCCAAAATGCATACAGTGGGGAAGACATAAACATTCCTATAACTATCTTTTGTAGAAAACTACAGTCACCTCAGACCTTTCGTCGCGTCTGTGGACAAGAATTTAAGAAGTTTAGGCCTGCAGAACATTCCAGGAATAAGAAGTTGGGTCATTCTACAGAAACGTCCACTTTTCTATCTCTCCATAGGAGTCACTGGTGTTACTGATCCTCATTGGTGTTACACATAATAAAGGGAACACCAGAGACATTTTAATGAAAAACGCATTTTACTAAACGGCTGCTACAGAGCATCAAAGTGACTTCAGCTAAAAGCTCCATATGAAATCATGAGCTAAACGAGAAAATCTCTGATAACTGAAAGACACAGTGGACTCACCATGAGCTTTTCTTCATAGATCCTCAGAAAACAGGTAAAAGGAAGTCGAGTGATGTCATCAGTGTGACTTGTATTTCAAAATAAGAGAGTTTTTGTTACGCGGTAACACCAGTGACACGACTCCTGGGGAACTTTCATTATATATTTTATAATATTTATTTAGCGTTTGTTTTCTTTGTCATTTAATTTATATATTCCATAGTCATGTACAGATTATTGTAGTTAAAATTGCAGAAAAATTTTTTTTCTTCAAAATGTGGCCTCAGCCTTCGCACATGACTGTGAGGACAAGCTCTTCTGTGGCGCTTGGAATTCTGTATAATTGATTTAAAAACTAATTTGCTAAAATAATGGCTAAAGAAGGTCTAACTGATAAAATAACTTATGTTTTATTTGAAAATGTAAAAAAATTGTAACCCTAACATGTTTTAAGTGTAATAAATCTGTAAACGCTGTTTAGCACAGTACACTTTCACCAAATAATGAATTTTAGTTACTACTTCCTAATAATGATCATTGTAAAATAAACTAACAGAAAGTATATAAACGGCTCGTGTGTGGCTATATTATCATTCTGGACCGAAATCAGCCTGAAATGAATGGAGAACTTTTATCATTTGGAACAGAATTTTGTTTGTGTGAACAGCAGATGGCGCTGTGGTAACATGTTTTGCTCTGTAGAAACTGTAGAGCTTAAAGTCAACCTGAAATCCTTGAAATCCTTTTTTATCTGGTTAGTTTGTCTTACAAGTCATATTAATCATATTATATCATATAAAATATTAAATTCTTGTAATTTACTGTAATCTGTACTGTAAAGAATTAACCAGTAATGATGTTGTGCTTCACCTCTCACTCTGACCACCTGCACCACTCAGCTAGCTCAGAGGTGGTGTTGCCAGATTGGGCAGTTTACTGCCAAGCTGGGATTTTTGGTTGGTTTGGACAGAGACAGAATTTGATTTTTCATAGTTTTGGCAGGTTTTTAAAAAATATTGCTAACACACTAGCTGTGAGGTAATGTGAGTGCTCCAAGCCAGTGCGTGGGCCACAAGCTAACATGTTAGCCCCAAGCCTACACACTAACCTTGAGTTAACGTTAGCCCCAGGCTAACACAAAGTAATGTGTTAGGCTTGAGCTAACGTGCTAGCTGTGCATTAATATTGGCACCAAGTTTACACACCCCAGTTAGCAAAATTTGTCTGGCCCACTTGTGGCCCACATCCTTGGTTTGTTCTGGCCCAGGATACAGCTGGGTCCTCGGCCCAGATCTGGCCCACACACTGTAAAGTGTGTAGAGCTAAAGGAAATGGCCCAAATCTGGCCCCAATTAGGCCCAACTACACTGTTGGTCCACAACATTCACGCCAGAATTGTCCCACAAATGTAGACACAAGGCAAAACGGTATGAAGCTGTCCAGGATCTGGCCCTGTTCTGGCCCAGCATACCTAACATCTACCTGGCAGTCAACCAACACTCACACAGGAAAGCCAGAATCGGCCCAAAACTGTCTGCTATTTGGGACAGAACAGGATGAGCTAATGTGTTAACCCTGAGGTAACCACTAGCCTCAAGCTAATATATTAGCCTTAATTCTTTGTTACAGAAGAAAAAAAACGCAAAAGATCGATAGTGCTAACTATCACAACCTATATAGCCTTGAGCTGATGCGCTATAGCCATTCGTTAACATCAGCCCTAAATTCACACACTAGCTAATGTGAGCTAATTTGTTAGCGCTGGGGTACGCACTAGCTACAAGCATATATGTTAGGCTTATGCCATAGATATACATACATAACACGCTAGCCACAAGCTTCTATGTTAGCCCCTTGCTAACACACTAGCTGTGAGGTAATGTGAGTGCTCCAAGCCAGTGCGTGGGCCACAAGCTAACATGTTAGCCCCAAGCTTACACACTAGCCATGAGTTAATGTTAGCCCTAGTCTAACACAAAGCATGTGTTAGGCTTGAGCTAACATGCTAGCTGTGCATTAATATGGGCCCCACGTTAACACACAGAACATGATGAGCTAATGTGTTAGCCCTGAGGTAACCACTAGCCTCAAGCTAATATGTTACTGAATTCTTTGTTACAGATAAATACGCAAAAGACTGACAGTGCTAACTATCGCAACGTGTATAGTTATCTAAAAGTTTTGGAAAGAAAGACCTCAGCGGTTCGTGTACACATTACAAAGCATGTTTTTACTTTTCTGCCGATGTTTGTTTGCTAACTCGTACCACAGTTATCGAGATATCGACTCTGTTCCAACTCCAGAATTCGGTCTGATTGGGATGATAATGTGCTTGTATATAGGTTTTTAAACGGATGCGTGTTTTTCGCACAATCATCGTTAAATGACAATTTTTTCCTTTAGGAATGAATGAGGTGTAAAGGTTTGTCATGTTGATATAAGTCTGTTAGCAACACCCTATTAACCATGTACAGAAACATAGCAACCACCTTGCAACACCCTAACAACCGCCTGAGATATCATAGCAACCACTTAGCAACACCTTTGCAACCACCTGGGATACCCTAGCAACCGCCTAAAATACCATAGTAACCGTTCAACAACACCTTAGCGACTGCCAGGGATCGACAGAGCTGTCACTCTGCATTTTCTTCAGGAAATGCATTTTTCTTTTTTTTCTTTTTTTTTATTGATATCATTGTTTAATTAAATGCTGACTGAAATGCTGATCGTCTGTTATTGATATTATTTGATACTTTTAGGCAGTTTTAATTATTTTTAGCAGGTTTTTTTCTTTCGTAAAATTGTAGAACCATTTTTTTGGATCTGCCCAGAGATCCTCCCTGATAAATGTCACAATATGAAAGTGAATTACATAGAACACATAAGATTCATACTCTATTAATATTGAAAGTCTGTATCTTGCATTGTTGTTGTTGTTGTGTTGTCCTTTACAAGAACTGAAACATACATGTTATGTATTTTATGTAAATGTAAGATATGAAGCTTGTATGAACATATTATGGCCTTTATAACAAGTTTGGTGTCTGAAGTTTATTTCTTAAGTGTTAGCACTGAAGTTATGAGGCTAATGTTTCTAACAAGTTATGGAGGCTTATACCTCACAGATTAGCATGATGCTAACTGCCTAAATCACTACACAAGACATGTTGACACTAAATGACACTCTTATATACACCGATCAGGCATAACATTATGACCACCTCCTTGTTTCTACGCTCATTGTCCATTTTATCAGCTCCACTTACTATATAGGTGCACTTTGTAGTTCTACAGTTACAGACTGTAGTCCATCTGTTTCTCTGATACTTTGTTAGCCCCCTTTTACCCTGTTCTTCAGTGGTCAGGACCCCCATGGACCCTCACAGAGCAGGTACTATTTGGGTGGTGGATCATTCTCAGCACTGCAGTAACACTGACGTGGTGGTGGTGTGTTAGTGTGTGTTGTGCTGGTCTGAGTGGATCAGACACAGCAGTGCTGCTGTAGTTTTTAAACACTGTGTCCACTCACTGTCCACTCTATTAGACACTCCTACCTTGTTGGTCCACCTTGTAAATGTAAAGTCAGAGACGATAGCTCGTCTGCTGCTGCACAGTTTGTGTTGGTCATCCTCTAGTCCTTCATCAGTGGTCACAGGATGCTGCCCACAGGACGCTGTTGGCGAATATGTTTGGTTGGTGGACTATTCTCAGTCCAGCAGTGACACTGAGGTGTTAAAAAACTCCAGCAGCACTGCTGTGTCTGATCCACTCAGACCAGCACAACACACACTAACACACCACCACCACGTCAGTGTTACTGCAGTGCTGAGAATGATCCACCACCCAAATAGTACCTGCTCTGTGAGGGTCCATGGGGGTCCTGACCACTGAAGAACAGGGTAAAAGGGGGCTAACAAAGTATCAGAGAAACAGATGGACTACAGTCTGTAACTGTAGAACTACAAAGTGCACCTATATAGTAAGTGGAGCTGATAAAATGGACGATAAGCGTAGAAACAAGGAGGTGGTCAGAATGTTATGTCTGATCGGTGTATAAACCTGGACTAAAGTACAGACAAAATCCAGGCTTGGAGGCGGCTGTGCTTTAGCTATGCTGATGTACTTCAGTCCATGTTTATAGATAACAGCATTTCATGAAGTATCAGAAACCAAATCATTCTAACTATTCGAGATACTGAACACCCCCACATGGTTTGAGACAGCCGATATTACTTATTACCCTCATATTAGCCCTGGGACAGTAGTTACATTTGGGTTTTTTTGGCTTTAAAGCAGTCTGTTTTTTCCTGGTCTGTACAGGTGGAGCTCTGGGAGGCCTGCTGGGATGCTGGATGACCAGCGGTCAGTTTAAACCAGTTCCTCAGATCATCATGGAGCTCCCGCCTCAGCAGCAGCAGAAACTCTACTCCGACGTTATGGCGATTTTGGGCACACTGGACTGGGTAGATGCCGTCCAGCTGGTCACGCTGGTGATGGGAAATACGACAATGCAGCAGCAGGTTGCAGCCGCCGTCCTCAGCTACGTCACCAAAGAGCTGAGGGCAGAGGTGCGCTACGGAGACTGACCACCAGGGGGAGACAGTAAATCAGGAAAACTAGTTAGTTTAAAGATTGGAAACACACTGCTTCATATCTGAGCCTGGTGCCTTACTGGTTTATTTATATTAGTTATTTAAACCTGTATTTTAGAATCTGACCGATGAAGGGGTTAAAAAGGATCTTAAAGCGGCACTTTGACCAAAATCTAATTTTTACCCGAATGTAGTTGAGCCAGCCGAGACATGTTTGATGCTTCTTTAGTTTTAGCATTGGAGCTACGAGACTAATGTAGCTAACAGGGGATGGAAGCTTGTACCCCATCAGTGAGCATTAATGCCTAAATTGCCACACTGCGTGGAGATGTTCAGTAATCTATTCAAACACTGGAATATGTGGTTTCTGACACTGTATGACTCACTGTTATCTATAAACATGGGCTAAAGTACATTAACATAGCTAAACACAGTTTAGACAGAATTTTGTCTGTACTTTCGTCTATTTTAATACGTTTGGGTGAGGAGAAAATTCTTGGAATTAGCTTTTTGGTTGAATTGTCGCTTTGAAGTTCTGAAATATGTCATGTAGTACAAGCTGACCACTTTAGGTTTTTAGAATAAATTAGACAGATTTTGTAGTGACAGCAATAGATGTTTTGCACTGACGTATACAAGAAAAGTCTTTTTTATTTGAATGCAATCTTTTTAAAACATGGTCTAATATGAAGTACAGTGTACTTTTCATTATTACATCATATGTGAAAATAGTGAAACTGATTTGTATGAGAATATCATGTTGGTACCTGAATTTGTTTAATAAATGATCATGTTATTAAATGTCTTTTTCATTCATATTCCAGCTGTATACTGTATAGAAATATAAAACAAAAGAATTTTGTGTTTAAATTAAATTCAGAATATTGGAAAAAAATCGGATTGGTTTTTAGTGATAAAATGTGGTGTTATACTTTGTATGAACATCATTTGGATTTTTAATATTATTTTCAATGGTAAAATAAATGATTAAAACTCATTTTTAACCATAGATTTGATTGGGTTTGTGCTCAAAGCACAAATAAGAACTGTAACATTTCAGATATGGACATTAAAGAAGCACAGTGGCTAAAGTGAACCATGTAACCATCTTACAGCAGAGCTGTAGTGACTCTAGAGGGTGATTTTCCAGCGTAAAGACTAAGAAACCCCCCCGATGATGTTTCTTGAATCTGGGAGGAACATTAAAAAAACTCCCACTAAAGCAGAAGGAAACCAGCTGGCACAGTGTGTGAAATGCTAGTAAAACAGAAAACAGTGATTAGTAAATCCTGTAATAATTTAAAAACGACACAAAAACAATATTTAATGTTTTGCTGTAGGAGCTTTGTGTTTTTTGTAAACATATGTTCATTCCAAATTTGAGACCTGCACGAGGTTCCAAAAAAGTCAGAAGAAGAGCATGTTTACCACTGAGTTACATCACCTTTCCTTTTAACTGCACTTAATAATCTGATTACGCAGCCATGCTGTTGTAACACACGCTGAATGTTTCTTGGTATCATCATGTTGACATGACGCCAGACAGCACAACAAAACAATATACATGATTTAATTGGTAACAGTCTGGTCCTTTTCCTCCTTGGCCTAGAGAACACAATGTCCATCATTCCCATAAACAATCTGAAAGGTGGACTCGTCAGACCACAATGCACGTTTCCACTGAGCATCAGTCCATTTCAGATGAGCTCGAGCCCAGAGAAGTCGGTGGTGTTTCTGGACATTGTTGATATATGACTTCCACTGTGCAGAGTACAGGCTTAACCTGCATTTGAGGATGCGGTGATGAATGGTGTTCATCAAAGTATTCCTGAGCCCATGTTGAGATCTTGGTTATAGTCACTGAGTTGTGGTTTTTTAGCTTTTCCTTTACACACAGAAATTTCTTGGGATTTTCTGAATGTGTTGTTGATATCATGCACTGGAAAGGGTGGAATATCTAAAATACTTGCAATTCCTCGCTGAGGAATGTTGTTCTTAAACTGCTGGATAATTTTTTGGCAAAGTGGCCTTGACCCAGCCTCGCTCATGAAGGACTCGGCCTTTCCTGGCTGCCCCTTTTATATCCAAACATGACAGCTTCACCTGCTTAAGATGTTTTTTCGTATATTTCACAATGTTCCTCGTCCTAAATTGCTTTAAATTGTTCCTCCACATTCCAAAACAGGAATGTTTTGGAATGTGTTACAGGTATCAGAATAAGTTGTTAAGTTGCTAATATAAAACAATAAACATCTTGTCTTTGAGCTGCTTTTCTTTAAATCACTGCTTTCGCTTTTCATTTTTATTTCACATACTGTCTCAACTTTATCGGAAGTGGAAGTAAAGCAGGGGAGGAAATTGTCAAATATCACATTTATCTAGTAGCTTATCGCGAAAACCACAGGGATTCCCAGCGGCTGTGTGACGCATTTGCGTAATGCATGCTGGGTATTATAGTAAGAGAAGCTTGATGAATGAAGGTATGAAAAGGATGTAAAATGGTGAGTTCTGTTAAACTGATGAGGCTGAAGGACATAACTGCGCTACAGAATACGGCATATTAACACACTGAAGTCTTATTTTAGGACGGAACGCCCATTTCATGGGTTTAGCCCCTGTCAAGTGGGGCTAAACGTCACTGGTTTGGGTCACATATTCACTGCCAGCACTTTCACATTGTGAATTCTTGTATCAGAGAGATTTCACAGTAAATGTGGAAATGATTGAGTCATGTTATCAGCAGTACTCATCTGCCGTCAGGTCCTCTTGCTCACGCTCTGCTCTGTACTGATTTCGGTGGTTAGTAGTGAGCTGGCATGTGGTTTCCTCAGATGACACGAGGTATCAGAGGCAGCCCACTGACACGGCATGATAAAGACCCTTTTATGAGAAACAGAAACCACAACATGGAAAAACACTATCTAGAGCTTTAATGTTTGTCAGAGTGGATTTAATATAAAAGGCAGTGGTTGACGTAAAGGTGGGCGACATGGAAACATAAGAGCACTGTACTCATCATGAAACTTACACGATACATATGATATTCATACTGATATGATACTTTTCCTGAAGGTTGCGTTTAAAAGGCCCATATCGTAGAAAACCAAATTTCTCTCACTTATTTGAAGTAAACGAGTTTTGAGTGGTATATAAATTATTCAAATTTCAAAAAACTCTGTTCACTCCGCCGAGCCATATGACAAACTATACTGCTAAAACACCATGTTTAGGATTCATTGTGCCTTTGATGTCGCCAGCATATTTACGTTTATCCAACTATTCAAGCTTACAGTTTAGCCCCGCCCATTCAGCCTACAGCAGTTTATTCCTGCCCATTCAGTCTACAGCAGTTTAGCCCCGCCCATTCAGCCTACTGCAGTTTATCCCTGCCCATTCAGTCTACAGCAGTTTAGCCCCGCCCATTCAGCCTACTGCAGTTTATCCCTGCCCATTCAGTCTACAGCAGTTTAGCTCCGCCCATTCAGCCTACATGATGTTAGCTCCACCCATTCACACTAAAGTTCAAAGGGTGGCTCTGTTCGGGGAAACTTACATGAGTTGCCTGCAGCATATTTTCTGTGCAACGTGACAATTATGCAAAGTAATCCAAGAACCGCCCAATAAACCATCTACTGTTTTATTTTCTTGATTACTGATCTGGAGAAATCAGTCGTTTGATAGTATGTCATCATGCGTTATCGCCGTTTTGATTGGCTGTTTCATGAAACTTGTTCCAAGAAGTTGATATGCTGCAAATGTTGTGGCTGAGTTTCAAATGAGTTGAGGGGCTCTTTAGATTATGCAACTCAAGTGCAACTTAGTTCCATCTAGATTTCAAGCAACTAAAGTTGCCGTGTGAAGCCGTCATAGGCAGTGTTTCAACCCGGACTGCTTTCTGAATGAGGCACAGTACAGGACATCCAATCAGAACAGAGCTCGTTTGCATATATACGTCTTAAAGGAACAGTAACAGAAGCAGCCTGTTTAATCGTAAGGGATGAAGAGAGATGATAAAAACCTCTTTTTAAATAAAACAACATTGTTTAAGTGTAACTTATGAAAAATGTATGGATTGTTTAAAGAAGACTGAAAAACAAAAATACAATATTTGCATTTGATGTATAAAAAGAAGGAACAGGAGGAAAAATGAAAGAAGTTTTGCAAGTAAGTGAATAAAATAAGATGATGTAACAGTCTGTCATCTAATCAGCTACTCTGTTACTGTACAGTTCATACAGTTACTGTACGCTGGTTGTCACTGTTGTTGTCTACAGACTCTAAAATGGATCTAAATGTGTATTCATGATCCACACAGATGTTCTAGAAGTGCATCATATACTCAGAAAAGAGTGCTGTGAAGAACCGGTGGGTTTTCTTAATTTCTTTTTAATGTGAGAATAAATTTTTACTCTTGTGAAATTCTTTTTTTTTGTGGTAATTCAATATTAACAATCAAAAATAAAAATTCTAATAAAATTAAACTAAAAATAAATTCCAATAGTTATGTTTAAAGGTTTCTATTCTCTTCTCTGTGTTTACAGCTTTTTATTCTTATCGGTATGAATGCTTTTGCACTGTAATCAATACAAAATCAAAACAAATATGTAATAATTATCATGAGAAAAGCCAGAAAAGCATATTGTGATTGAATTTATCATGATAACAATAACGTTGTGTTGTCCACCTCTGGGTTGACCAGTGGTCAGCATGTGAAAGCTGTGGTCTGGTGATATTCTGGTACGTTGTGTACTGAGAGTAAACGTGTTTACAGAGTGTTTACAGAAATGCAGGGCTGTCTGTAATGCGGGAGTGTTTCTGTTTCTCTGTAAGACTTTTTGTTCTTTTTTCTCACGTCGTTTATCACATCACCTCATTCAAACATCAGAGCGGTCACTTCCTTCCTCAGTACGTGTACATGTGCATCACTGTGTACAGAGGACTGTAAATACAGCAGTGAGCAATTTACACTGAACTTCAACTATGAAAGGCTTTATCAGTTTTATAATTGATTAAATCTAAAATTTACATGTAACTAGTATAAATTATTCATACAACAAAGTATAAAGTATCAACTACAAATTATTCAGTATTTGCTACAAATTATTCAGTATCTACTATGAATTATTGAGTGTCTATTATGGATTATTCAGTATGTTCTATGAATTAATTAGTATCTACTATAAATTATTCTGTATCTATCATGCATTATTCAGTATCTACTATAAATTATTCAGTATTTACTATGCATTATTCAGTATCTACTATGAATTATTGAGTGTCTATTATGGATTATTCAGTATGTTCTATGAATTAATTAGTATCTACTATAAATTATTCTGTATCTATCATGCATTATTCAGTATCTACTATAAATTATTCAGTATATACTATGAATTATTCAGTATGTACTATAAATTATTCAGTATCAACTGTGAATTATTCAGTATCTACTGTAAATTCTTCAGTATCTACTGTAAATTATTAAGTATATACTATAAATTGTTCAGTATCTACTATCAACTATTTGGTATACACTACAAATTATTCAATATCTACTATGAACTATTCAGTATCTACAATTAATTATGTACTATATACTATGAATTATTAAACATCTACTATGAATTATTAAGCATCTACTACGAATTATTTACTAAATACTTTGAATTTTCAAGCATCTACTATGAATTATACAGTATTTACTATGCATTGTTTAGGATCTAGTATAATTGAGTTTGAGTTTAACAGGATAGTTAGTAGTTTTTATATCAATATATAAATAATTTCTTCTTATTGTTTGT